AACATCACAATTTTAGTACTAATCGTCTAACTAACATAAAGATTGTCTGCAGCCTAATGCCTAGTACGCATGCAGTCAAGTGCTGATATACATTTGGCTGAAAACTTCATCTGTATAAGTTTTGTTCCGAAAGGATATTGTATATCCTAACAATTATGATTACATTTAGTTAATAGATATTAAGTAGCTACCAATTTTTGTCACTAATCAGCATATTAAACAATAACCGTATACAAAATATAGCAGTATTATCGTACTTTTCTTTTTTTCCCATTTTTCATATGAAGAAGGCAAGAATAGAATTCCGCCTCGGTGAACTATTTTTCATTTTGTCGAACAGTATGAGGTAAAGACATTTGAATTCACTAAATATAAAAGACATGTAGGGTGTATCATTATTTTTATTCACTTAAATCAAAATCTTGATACCACAGAAACATCGCGACACCATGTTTACGTAGAAAAACGAGGACCAAATAACTGGTGTTGAATACCTGAGGGGAACCAGGATGAAGTCACTTCATTGGGTGTATTGGTTCAGTAACCTCCCTTCCCATAGGCCTAGGTCTTTACTCAGAGATCACGACAACACTGCTCCTGTGAAGTTCTGGAGAGATTGTCTGAAAAATAACTATCTCATGCGGAAGCAGCATCATGCTCAAGAATTACCCGCTCGAGCTAATGGGAGGTAAGTACAAAAAATGTTGATGCGGAACCTATATTTTTCACAAATGGCAGCTATTTTTTAGTGGGCATAAATTTGTAAGTCAAATACCGATAGTCACGGCGGCTCCAACTATATAAGCGTAAATTGAAGTTGCTACAATAAAAACATAATAACTGGATACAGGTCATATAATAAGATGCTATTACTTGTTCGTAGTTTTAGCAAGGCCTGAGACTAGTTCTGAGATCGATGAAGTAGCTGTGGAGACGTTCAGGAGGGTTTCTGACAAAGAGGTGCTGATGAGCTGAAATACAATCAGTCAATATACATTGATTATGGAGATCATAAGCTGTCGGAATTAACTCTGTCCTATTTGACTTATTTTCATGTGACAAGTTGAATGGCAAGCGATTCAGTCTTTGAACTAATCCTTTCCTTATCTTTAATTATTAATTTGACCGGCGCTCTCGATTCTTCAACTCTGTTTTGTGAAAGTAGTATTAGGAATTGGTCCGAGACACCAGTTTCTGTTGATATACTAACTGCAAAGGAAGACTCGTATGAGATTTGCAGCAAGACCAATAAAAAGTTCCACTGCAGATTGATAATGGTGAAGAGTAACGGAGACTTTCCAACCTCTTCCTTTATGGACGGCCCTTTGCGACCAAACTACATTCTGGGGTTTACCCCGTGTGAGAGTTTGGGCGCATCTTAATACTGTAGTTTTGCTGCCAATGAAGTATACACTACCTTGTTATCCCTTTCCAGAACATTAAGTAGCGTGTCTTGAGAGCTATTCAGAACTGTTTTTAGTATTTACTGATAGCCAAACCTGGAAAATATCCCATTTTGTCCCCAATGCCTGAAAAGAGCACCACGTTCCCGAAAAATTCAGATAAGGAAAATCTAAAAAGTCTCTTGATTAACCTTATTCGTCCCTCCAAATCACTTTTGACTTGAAGCCTTTGTGACTGAACTAGTGACACCACCAAAGGATTGTTGATATGCTTAGTTGTTGAATTAAATGTAAAAAGGCATATATTTGGCAGAGAAGAAAGAAGAAAAAACACAAAATCGCGTGTACATTTCTTCATATTCGGAATTTGCAAATTTTCGATCTCTTCGGTCGAAGCGATAGTAACGGCATCATTCATAGGTTCTTTAAAACATAGCCTAACGATTAATTAAACCTCGTCGTTACTCGAGAACTAAGTTAGTTTTGAGGATTGAAATTGTGGTGGACCAGACAGATATGAACGCGAAAAGTATCAACAAAGTTACTAAAGATCAATAGTAATATTAATATATACAGTTAATTGTTACAAATACAATAAAAATTTGGGACGTTACTTAAATTGACCAAATTTTGCGCGTTCTGATTGGGTTCGGTATTGTAAATCCACAATTATAAATGCTTGATGATTCTGAGCGGGTTGACAAACTCTCCAGTGATATAATCCAACGTAGAATGTGATATATCCCAATTACAGTCTATAAATAATGATAGTATTTGAATTAGACTTCAGTTAGCTCAATCACAAACGAAGATAGAACGAGGAATGTGTGAGTAGTAGTGTATTTGTTAGCGAGCAAGAGTATGTCACGCTATGTCAGTATCATAACGGAAAGTGTGTTCAGGTCATTTACTAAAACAACAGTTACAGTCACTTAATGTTAAATATACATACAGTGGAAGGTTGACAAAATAAATACAGATAACATTGAAAACTATTTACAAAATAAGCTTGTCGGGCCTATCTCCACAAGATCAATGCCGCTGGTTTTAACAGTGGCGTTGCTTATACTCCTCCGAAGGTGTTTTTGTCATTCATTTCAATTTAGTCGCGGTAACCGTGTATGAACTGATAGATTTTTGTAGTCACGCCTCAGGATGATAAAACATTTTGTCGTGAGATAACACTTTCGTTCATTATTCCACGCCATGGTGCTGAATATACCTAATCTCCCAATTATGGAGAAAGTTTGACCCATTTTGTTTAAATTTTGGAGAAGCCTTCATAGAAAAGTTTTGGAAAATGGCATTGAAACCCCAACATTACCTCTAAACATTGGTGAGGGCCATTTGGCTTTGGGGATCCACTTAAAATTTCACCAAACTTGGGAAATTGGATTGTCGTCGAAGACAACTCTCAACGTCACGTTGAACTCACTATCATATATAAAAATGTCCATTAGAATGCGTACATTATAGATGTAAATACTTGAAATATCTAGAGTATCTTCTACCTCAACAAATGTACGACGATGGTTTCAAAGACGTACCTAACTTAGATTCTACGGGGTTTTGTGAAATCAATGTTACAACCTACTCACAATTGTGAGTAGGTTGAGTGTTCAGATTCACGTTTGTTTATTAAGGACTGAAGCCCACCCTACTGTGTTTATTCTTTTCCGACAAGCTCCTGTGAGTTTCTAGTCTTTCCACGAGCTGGAGGTGCTAACAACACTTCTTCAGGTAGCAGATTCTAAGAGTTGGTAGTTTGGTAAGAAGACATGTATTCAAGGAGTATTTTACTTGTCCTTGGTTTCTGAGCTAGGTTTTCATGTTCACTGGGTTGTCATAATCTAGTAAAGTGAAAAAAAACGGGATATTTGTCAGATATGAAAATACTTATTGGGATTTTCTACATCAAGATCTAATCACCCCTTGATACGCGATAACTCCTTACGCTGCCTTGTGTGTGGCAAACCCCAGGTCTCTAGATTTGCGTCGGTCCCTTTCTTTTGTACTTATTTCAGGATGTATGAGTCACCTTTTGAACAGGAGATGAACGTGAACTCAGTTGTAAAGTTTGAATCACACTAAGGTGATGTATACTATGGTGAACATGCTTGTATCCAATATGTTAAATATCCGTCTTAAGGTTCATAGGGTTCTAAAACTTTTAGCTGCAACTGCACCGCTGTGAGGCATGGTCTTGAGGTCGTGGCTCACTATTACCCGATCATCCCAAAACAAAACTAAGATCACCAACGCCTCCTCCAAGCACATTTTATTGTATCGGCAATGTGCATGTAGATACGTTTCACCACGTCGATAGGCATTGACTATATTTTAGACCAGCTAAGAGGAACGTTTGGTCCGAGCTGTAGTGCACATGCTTCCGCATCCCCGTTACTTTTCTCCAAATTTTGAATTCATCACCATACAATGTAGATGTAAAAGACCTAGAACAGAGATTAGTGGCACTCTACTAAGTACTGGTTTCGATGGGGAATATTTGAAATTTACTCTTACTTTTTGTCGACGACCTACCAATAAATGTTTGATCCGTTTTAGAAAAAGGTACTTCAAGCCCTAGCTTTTCCAGTTTTGGAAAAAGTCTGTTATGCGATACCTCATTGAATGATTTACTGATTTCAACGTAAACAACGCCAGCTAGTTTCCTATTATTGAACGACTCGGTTCATCACTCTCTTGCTATAATGAGGTTAGTTATGCGGGATAATCCTTTACTGAAACCATGTTTCTCACTGACTAACAAGTTGTTAGTTTCCATGATTATAATGGCTTTTTTAGTTACTCTCTCCAGCGTTTTAACTACGATGCTAATGAGGCCGATAGATCTGTGGTTTGATTGGTGTTGTCTTGATCATATCTTGTAAGTTGGAGTGACAGTTGCGTTTTCTCAGTCCACAGGTAACTTACTCTGACTGAGTAGTATTCTAGAGTTCGTTGTCAGCTGGGTAAAAATGTATAATTTAACTTGTCTCAGGATTTTGGGGTACAGCCCTTTCGGTCCTGTTGATTTTTCCATTTCTAAAATCCTTCGTACTTTTAGTACTTTCTTTTTTGATGGTTTTAAGAGTCGTTGTACATGATACGTAAGAAGCAGCTTTTCCACACTCGTCTGCCTAGCTGGTAACGGATTTAAACCAAATAACATCTTTTTTCTTCAAAGTTTGAAGGTTGTCATCTATCACAACTGTTTTTTGTTGAAATATTGTCAATAAAGTCAGTGTGTTCAATCTTTGGTCCGTGAAGTTGGGAAGTATAAATGTTTGAAATGTCATTCATGAATAATTGTGGATAAGCTTTATAGAATTGCTCTGCAGAAAGAAATGTTTTATTGTGAGAATTCAGCTGACTCAGTTTAAGGATTTTAGCACTGATTTCTGTTTCGTAACCAGCGCTGGTAGCAATACAGAAAGTTGTATCTGAATGTTTTATTTAATTGATACAAATTGTCCCAGTAATGCATGTTCACATACAGTGTAGTTAAACTTTGTTTTCAAGCATTTTGTAAAATAAATTATACTCCATATTTATGTACCATAAGCTCTTTAATGAACATTTTCATTTTATATATTTCAGAAACAGTATAACATCCAATAAACTACAAAATGAAAGTTGATGATGTTGAACAAGATTGGTTGTTTTATCTTGCCCAACCAAATAAATTATTGTCGGATATTGAGGGTTTAACTATATCACATCAGTTGGAGTTGCTTAAACAATCCTTATCACAGGCTGAAATAAGTGAAAGAAAAACTAGTCTCACTAATTGTGAAAATAATTCAGTGGACAACTTCATCGGAGAAAATGAAACTACGAATCCTGATGACATATTTGTCGAGTCGTCTAGGTTATTCAAAAAGTCAAAAGTTTTGGATATAATGTCCTTACAGATCGCTGCTAATCTAAAATTCAATCTAAATCTTTTTCGAGTCATATCAGAAATGCCCATCAAGCTTCTTGCACGTCTCTATAGAGTGCTCGTCATGAGTACTTCAAAATTTTCATCAGTTTTACAACCTCTGTTTGAAAATGCGATAAATAAAGAAAATATTTTCATTATAAATCCTTACGGATACTATAGATGGTCTCAGTTAAATCCTATGACAATTTATGGTTTAATGTCTTACCATATATGGTGCCTTCATGTATGTTTGTGAATTCACATGATATTAATATAGTTTAGGTATCTCATACATCCAGTATGCTGCCACATCCCTTTCGAAATCTTACTCCTATTGTTTCTGGTTTAACTGAAATTCCTGAGGTGGCGTTTTTTGCGGATAATCGCGTGGAAGTTGGCGTTGTTCTCACTCGCATACAAGAGTCTGTAAATCAGCTAAACGAAATCAACAGTCTTTTGGATGATCTCAACATAGCTAGACCTCTTCCTTCAGTGTTTTCAGCGCTGAATTCCATGTTTCCTACAGTTTTTGAACCAAAGATTAAGTCTGCTCAGGATGATCAGAACCATAACGGTCTATCAGATTTTGTTCTTAATAACTCTATACCTCTCTCTAAAAGCTATCTTTCTGCATCGCTTAACTTTGTACTCGGAAGGTATGCCTTTCAGCAGCAACAGTTTACTCAGTCACAGAAACTTTTTCAAATCGCTTATGATGAAATGCAAGATCAAAAGGTATTTTACATTTATGTAGTTATTCGGTGAATGACTTTATCATTTTATTGACAGATGTTCAAAAGCAATAATTAACTTGCACTAAATAGTTTATATTACAAATGATAAATAACTGTCTTGTTATTTACCAGAAATGAAAACAACTTTTTCTCATCCCTTTAGACTGTAGCTTTTAAAGATTTTGAATGTCATCATATTTTAGAGATATTTCTTTTGGATGGATGAATTGAAAGGCATCGGTAATATAATGGCTGTTGCATTTCACAAATTCAAAATTAGAAAGTTTGACTATGTGGGAAGGCTCTGACTTGGTTGGAGATGTTGTAATCTCTCAGTGTTTTTTTGTAATGAGGAAATGGTCACTGTAATTGGGCAATGACATCATCAGTATACGGTTGTGGAGGTCGTTGAGTTTTGTTGAGATAACAGACCGGGTTAAGTTTAGCAACCATTGGAAACTTGCAAAGCTGTTTCGTCCAGATGTGACGAGTAGAGTTCAGTTGTGTTGGATACGAGGAAGTCACCTACATAAAACAATAGAAAATGGTCAAGCAGTATTGTGGATTGATTGAAGTTAGACTATTACACCATTGAGTCTCAACTCAGTGGTTCAGAAGTTAAGTGTCCGCGTGCGAAACCATACGTCCTGGGTTCGATTCCCGATTGAAGAATCGTGGATGCACATTGATGAGGAGTCCCGTACTAGGTCAGAACAGCTATCCAGTGCTTCCAGGTACTCAGTGTTTATCTAACTTGGACCCTTTATGATCTCGTTGAAACTTATCAGTTTAGGCATCCGACTTTGAACTATAGTTTCAAACCGTAAGATTGAAAGTGGTGAGAACATACAGGTGAACCAAGTCATAGGATTAACTTAACAGTATCTTTTAAAGCTTTGTGTAAAAACCTCTAGGAGTCATTAGGCACCACGAAATCGAATAATAATATGGTCGAACTGTGAATCGGTTCTCGTAATTTTTAATCCATTGTAATGCATAGTGTTGTTTTGACAATTGACTCTTTCCATGTTATACCGTCTTTCCCAAATTTCCAATTATTAACTTGTATTCACTTAAATTTATTTAACTGACCTTTAGTTTTCATATATAAGTACATTGACAAGTATATACACATGACCAGGTTGTTCGAAGTGTATTGTGCAAGCACATCAAGTTTCACTTGTTTTCGTTGAGTCTGTTGTTCAGAAAAGGTTACTAATCAACTAGTGAGTAGTCTCAGTTTCTGTTTATGGTTAATTGAGTGTTTGCAGTCAGTAGGTGGGAGAGTGATTTGATATTTGTCAAGTTCGATGTTGTTATAAGCTGAAATGATCGTGAATCGATCACTTCTAACGGGTTTAACAGTTGATAATATAATTTAAATAACTTTTCTCCTTCAATTTAAGAACCATATCCACTCAGCTGACTCAGTCGCATAAATTGAGCTTGAGGGATTTTTGTACAGGTCGTTCTTCACACTTTACAAGTTTTATTTGCTGATTTGCTGAATGTACGCAAATCACATATTGTATTCGATCTTAGTTTTATTTTTGATTTGGACGCATAAACAGCACAAATGGGTACCAAAGTATGTATGTTTCACACAAAGAAGTTATTATTCAATTTGTGTGTAATCTGGGACACTGTTCGGGTACCAAAACAGAGTCAGGTAGTTTCCTTAGGGGTCAGTCCTCGAGCATTTGACATGGAGGTCTAATCCACAAGGCAGTAGAGCAACGTTAGGAAATGTGATCCCATGGTAGCAGGTGACCAACGATAGGTCCATACACCATCTGCTTCCTCACGATTCTGGAACACATGTGCAAGATTAGTTTGGAATCATGGTTTTCAAATTCCACTCAGTGAATCCTCCATACTCACCAACCCAGTTAAATCGCCAGACATTTGCTTCTCGTTCTCGATCTCGTAAGCAACACCCTTGTCGTGAGAAGGCGATGAGTAGGACTTCTCTGTTAGTGGTCATATACGCATGTCCATGTGGGAGCATTTGGAGAAGCTGGGGGGACCCTTTTCACTCTCTGCAGCACCAGGGCATTTGGTGACCGATTCTAGTTTATTTTTAGTTTATAGGCATCAACATCAAGGCTTAGCTTGATAATATCAAATAAACTGAGCATTTGATAGAATGTTCATAAGAAAATTATGATATCTCAGTGAGTAGAAGTTTAAATTTCTGACGTTTCACGACATAGTTTATATTGCTTTTTCAGAGTTTAAATCATTATTCACTTACTCTTTACATAGCTCCAGATATCATAAATATATCAATGATTTTGAGTATACTTATGACGAAATATTAGACTAACCGGTTAGTCGATGGCTATGTATAAAATTTATATAAAACCATTTACTTCTGTAATACATTCTGTCTCAGAAGGAAAGAGTTTTTAGTTGAGTATTTTATCCTGGTCTAGTGAAGACAGCATACATACAAAAGAGAATGTCGAAGTTTTGATAATTGGGATATATTCCACTAATTTGGCATAAAGTCAGTAAATATGTAGTCAATAAGTATGTAGAAACGAATAATGCGTTTCTATTACCAGACTCTCGGAATGCTCTATCCAGCATTCGAATCTATGACCTAAAGTCTAAAAGTCCAATACTTTTGCATATGAACCACCATTTTACGCTAGGCCATGGGATTTATTGGAGAAGTTTAAAGGAAATACTTTAGCAAAAGCAATTTAAGATGTATGAAGATGAGATAGAACGGTTTGCGAAAGTGGAAATTATTTTCTACTGAAGTTTTGGAGAACATGCCTATGTTATCTTATTACCAATTTTTTGCTTAAAATGAGTAAAGTTGACGAAACTAGGTCTCTATTGTTTTTTGTAAATTATGCAATAGAACTGTTGTACTTTTAATTTGATAGACACAACCGTGTCATCATACTTTATAGATTCACTTTCTACGTTTTTTATTTTTGCTAATTTATTAAAGTTATCCAGTGTTTCGTCCTCATGTTATTGTAACCGACTTTTTGAAAATATTTTCTATCGTCTAATTTACAGTTTGAATATTTAGATGAAGCAGGAGTTACACCGAAATTACTACAGGCTTATTTAAGTGCTTGCAAATCATACACATCTTCAGACTGTATTGCAAACGAATTTTCACTTTTCCAGTCTGACAATCAATTTTTAGAAACATTTTGTCGTTTATTAGAAGTAAATACATCAGATTCTCATCATAAAGATTCAATCAATATATTTTGGATTCAACCATTAGATACATCTAGTACACCATCCGTCAATATGGAATCTAAAGTTTGTAGTGGATTACTTACTACCATAGAAGATCATCTTTATCAAGTTTTACTGAATGTGGACCAATTTTTCATTGATGATTCATCTAATCCATATATTCCAATTAGTTTAGGAGTTCGTAATAAATTAGAAAGTTTGTGCTTAAAACAACTGCATAATTGTATTAGTTTACTGATGATACAAGCGATACTGCACGAAATATGCCTTCTACAAAACAATCAAATGATAAAATGTCAATTTTTAACGCAGTTCGTCAACTATTCACTAAGGTATGTGTTATGTTCTTGGATATCTTTTTGATTACCTACAGTGTAGGATGATGGTTGGAGGTAGTCAACAAGAAACCCTGTAGACCTTAGGTTTCTTGCTACTTGGTACTCGTCAGGAAGGTGTACCTGTAATCTTGAGGAAACTAGTGCACCCTAGCTGATTCCATCCTGTGTCACCTAAATTCACAGTTAGTTACAGTACTATTGAGCTATTTCGGCCTCGACTGACCTATATGACTGAATTATGTTTGTGATGGATTGATCATTGAGTAATGACCTATGTCGTGTATATCAAGTTCTTAGTGCTGATCGAATACTATCGATCAGGTTGCAATGTATTCACTAGTCTAAATTACTCAACATCACTTGCACCATGTTAATATGTAAGGTGATGATGACCACATTGGAACTTGATCTATAGAATTCGGTCAACACTAGGAAAAACTTGACATATATGACACTGGTCACTGCTTAGTTAACAATTAATTACTAATTTATTCTCCCCATCTCTTCAAAAATGTGAACTATGCCAATGTGAACTGATAGACATTTATGTCCCACATATCAACTATGATTGACAGATTTTATGTACTAGTTTTTACACAGTACTTCTTTTTTATGGAAGTTAATCGTGCAACGCATATATCGTATCCATAGTTCAAACCATGATCTGATCATAGACTATCAATCTAGGTTGTTAAAATCCTGGAAGTATTAGGTGGTTGTTTCGTTTCATTATGAGACTCTAGCAGTTCACATCTACGACCTCTCATCTTCAATATAGAGACGTGTTGAAAAAGTGAGTGGCCAAACATATCAATTAATTTTCTTCCATAAAAAGGTATCTCACACTGCAAACATTTAAGCTGAAGAGGAAGAATTTCAGGCAATGTATGTTTAAAAAAAAACGAAATTTACTGTTTCATTGGTTAATCCTTGTACATTTTTCATCTTTCTAATTTTTATTTGCCTACTTTTATATTTAATCTTTCGTCATATTGTTTTATTTTTCAGGTACATATATGTAATACAGTTGACCGACTAATGTTTGAATCTATAGAACTGCCACTTTCATTATCAACTGAATTGTTAATGAATATTCCGGAGAGAAATTTTGAAAGTTCAACAAAAAAAGAACACAGGTCATCGTCTTCATTGTCTTCATCATCATCATTTTCTCCTCCATTTATCGATGTAATAATTGGACGAGAATTTCTGTTTGATTGTTTAACTTCTATAATGGAAAAGCTGTCTACTAAAAATCCGAAATTATCATCTTCATCTCAATTTATTGTTATATGTCAATATGTAAGATATTTGGTTCAAGAAGGGATTTGTTTACTTGGTAATTTAGTGCATAAACCACTTCCTAAATCGAATTATGAATTAAATTCAATACAAAAAGAATTATCAAGATTTATTAAAAACACTTGTATCACATAAATTGGTAAGTCTGTTAACTCTCTAGTTAAGAGTATCTTACTTTCAGTTGTTATTGTTTCGCTTATTCTCATTTAAGGCAAAAAAAACACGGTTACATTTGTTAGTTTTTATTTTTATAATCACACCTGTACTAGTATCATTGTGCTATGACCTTATCTTATTGTTGAACATTTTGCACATAATACGGTATACAACTGCGGCACTCGAATATATAGATCCCACAGTCGCAAAGTCAGAAGACAAAAGAAAGCTGGGGAAGAATGAATAATTTCAGATCCGTTTATATTGGGAGGATTAACTCATGAAATTGAATATTCAAATAAATGTTGGTAACCTTTAACATCCCTTCCCTAAGAATTGCCACTACTTGTGTATTTTCTTGAATTTAACCAACAGATTTTAAAGTTGTCTTTGGATTTTAATTCACGTATTTTGTGTTTCCATTCATCATAAAAGCCTGATTATCGAAAACTAGGTACTAAAATCTATCATTCTGGCAATTCTTATTTCGAAAGCTAGTGTAATATACATATGTAATAACAATATCCATATATTACATATAAGGGTAATAATAAATAATTTACCGCTTCACTGACATGGGAGATGATTCTGCAAAAGTGGAAAACATGGAATCTGTGTAAATCGCTTCAAATGCCCTGGTACGATCGAGGGTAGGGAGAGTCATTCCTTTCTTGAAATGCTCTCACATGGCCACGCGTATACGGCCACTCTGTTAGGGAAGTCCTGTTCACTGCCTTCTTGCGGCGGGGATGGCGTTTATGAAATTGAAGGGGACGAAAAGCGAATATCCTGCGCTTTAACCGGGTTGGTGGATATGGAGGGTCCACCTAGGGGAGTTGGAAAGCACTCATTCCAAATCAATGGTGCACATAGGCTCCAGGATCCTGAGAAAACAGATGGCGTATGAACCTGTTGTTGGTCACTGGTCACCGTGTGACTACATCTCCTTGCCTTACTCCACTGCCTTGTGGATCAGACCTTCAGGTCGAAGGCTCCGTGGGTGGCCCCCTAAGAAAACCACCTGTTTCGGTTTGGGCACCCGGGCAATATCATAGCCCATACACAAATCAAGTGACTTGTGTGGCGCATGTGTATTCGGTGCCCCTTTGTACCAATATTTATGTGTTCGATTAAATAAATAAACTACATAAACACAGTGGGATGAGATTATTGATTTAAATACTAAAGTTGCTTATTTATTGATAGTATCAATGTTAGTAAAATACATTCAGTATTTTACCCAACTTTTCTAACCATTGTTAAAGGTAATCGTTCACACCTTAACTAAGTGGTCTGCACCTACTAACATGGCTCAGTTTAATAATCAGTGACTTTATAGACTGATGCCAAGCTTCAGTTTGGCCGCCGCTATCCTTCGTTCAACTTACCTCTTCTACACCAACTAAAATAAGTAACACATGCTTTAGCCACCTCAGTGGATTAAAAAGATTCGTATTGTTTGCCTAGTACATTCGTTCTATTTTGGGCAGATGGATATCTCACCTACTCCACAGGCCACACAAGTTCGTAAGAGCAACACTGTGGAATTTGCTTGGATCACATTCATATAGAGATGGTTCATTTTATATATGTATTGTCACATACTTTCTTTTATTCAGATGGATTTCTTACCAGAATCTTGCGGAAAATATATCCAGTCTATTTTCCAAGCAGTAAATTCTGGAAGTTCGTCGGAAACGGAAGTAAACTCCAACCCTATTTGTGCCTTTATTCCTGACCTTCTTTCTGACCTACCTAATCTAGATATTGATCTTGATTCGAACTTATATCAAATTGATTCGGATGGCTTAAATTCTCTGGGACTTGGATTCTGGGCAGACTATGAGGTATATCAAAATACTGCATCGTTCAGACAACAGATACCTAGAGGCGGATCCCCATTTGGGATTGTTGGTGATGTGGATATGCGCAGCTTAGCTAATCAGCATCAGTCTCCATCAACATCATTTCCTCATATGTCTATTCCACAATCCCGTGTAACTGGTGGACATGGACCTTTTGTTCATCAATCACTTCAAACTTTTACTAGAGAAAACCCACTTGTATGCGATCTTCAAGTAATACGTCATCTTTTAATAACAAGAAATCCAACCGATGTAAATATGTCGGTCGATTATCTATTAAGGTCAGGTATGACACCAAATGGAATTTTAGAATTAAATGGTTCGTGGCTCCCATCTTTACATTATTTAGCTTCACTGGAGATAGTCGGACCACATCCTATCAATGAGAACAGTGTAAGTTATTATGTATTGATCTATTTCATTTATGTACTCTTTTCTCTGACAAATGAATCAAGTTGTTTTCAATAAGTAAATACATTCCCAACATAGCTCTCGGTCCAACAAGTGATGATTTCATTAGTGAAGTATACGCTAAAAAGTGTACCGAATAGCCAGATTTATAAATCTGTACTTTGTAAGTGATTTACATCATTCCTTCAATATTGAATGTGTCGACTGCTTCACTTATCTTGGGAGTCTCACCAGTCCCTATGGGTTGGTGTCCGACGAAGTATTTGCACGGATTCAGAGGGCTCGATTTGCTTTTACCGAATTGCGTCACTTGTGTCGTGGGTGAGAAATCCGTCTATCAACCGAAGTAGGAGTTTACTTTACGGCAGTTCGCTACGTTCTACTTTTTGGGTGTGAAATATAGTCACTAAGAATAGAATCTTCACACTTTACTAATGTTCGATCGTAGGTGTCTTCGAAGCACATTTCTCGTATATTTTGAGACCACCGAGTAAGAAATCTTGGGATTAGGAATGGAATGCTAGATAAAGATGGCAGATTAATTGATAAGGTGGTAAATCTTCATCGATTGAGGTGATTGGGTTTTGTTTTACGTATGTTCGACCACTGTCTATCCCGACGGCTAATGTTGCGTGGTGCAAGTTGTTGCTTCAGGACTGGCCTGCGTCAACACCTGAACCTGAGAGTAGGGAGTGAAGTAGTCGAGCGCATCGACAACTTCACTTATCCTGGAGGTCTGATCAGCCCTAATGGGTTGGTGTCTGACAAAATATCTGCACGGATTCGGAAAGCTCGTTTGGCTTTTGCTAACTTACATCACCTATGGCGGAGGTTAGATATCCGTCTATCAATTAAGGGACGAGTATAATGTGCAGCAGTTCATTCTCCTCTACTTTATGGCATCGAAACGTGGCCACTAATAGTAAAGATATTCGTGAGCTACTAGTATTTGACCACAAATGCCTTAGAAATGTTGTTGACATCTGCTAGGATTATTGGGTAAGTAATAGTGAGGTTAGACGCATGGTATTAGGGAATGATGGTAAGTCAGTTGATGAGGTTGTGAATCTACATCGACTGAGATGGTTGGACCACGTGTTACGTATACCTGAACACTGATTACCATGACGTGCAGTGCCGACTAGTGTTGGGGATGGTTGAAAGAAAGTTAGGGGGGGCAAACCGAAATGTGGCGTGAGTCTTTGAAGTCACTAACTTCCAGCCTTAGCTATGTTGTTAGATGCAGACTACTTGGTTGGGGTCCGCGTGACTATCGTAACCAGTGGTTAGAGACCTTGAATGACATTGCTCAAAATCTTTTTAAGCGGCTCAGATGCATCCACTCTTTGTTTTTTAAATCCTAATTTGTTAAATTCCTTATGATCTTTTTATTTCACAGATTTGTTTTCTTGAATCATTATTTTCGACACCTTGTCTTTTCTATTATCACTAATACTGTTACTACTTATATTACTCTGGGATTTGCCATGACAATTTCATCTCTCCTGTGCTAAATGGGGTGTGGCAACTTCAGCCGAGCTATACACGTACCAGGTTCTACCTTGCGTTTGAATGACCGACTAATTTTAGTCATTAATCTATGGTCAAATAATATGGTCAAAGTGTTAAAATCTACATTATTTTTGCTATTTTTGTGTCTCACTTTAAGTCAACCAATCCAATCGATTTATTGTTATCATCATCCGGAAATATTATGTGGGGGATTACAGTATTAATACAATTGGCTAAAGGTTCATCCATAATTCGTCATGAAATGTCACCATTCACAGGAGCTAGGGCTTTTTTACTTGCTGCTTTAAATAATCTGGCGTCAATTAATCCTATCGTTCCGCCTCCATCGTCATCATCTGTTAATCATGTTACAACAACATCCGGTCATGTAGTTGGAAAACAGTCACGTCCGTGCGATGCTTTTCCATGGATTCGTGCTGGTATCAGACATGAATTATTATTGGTTGACTTACTGGTAAGTTTATTGAAATTCATCTATTTGCCAGTGTTACTTTTTCGTAGTTTCACAAGTTTTAAAGCATTGGATCTCTCCTGAATGGGTTCATAGAATTCCCTTTATATGTATATGTGAGTTATGGATTTTGAAAGCGTTTAAGTGTTTCCTCATGATGTGGAACTGCTAAGTTAATAATATTTGGCATGGGCTTACATTTTCCGGTAAGATAAATAAATCTGTTGATGAGATTTTAAGGTTAGAGCGCGTGTTACAGTGTTCAGTCACTAATTACATGACTGCCGTAGGAGCAACGTGACCTTAGACAACTAGTGGAAAATAGGAAACACAACAGTTTGTTTCGTCGTATTATGGGTCTCAGTAGTGCTCACCCATAACCCTAATCTATTATTGTGTTTGTGTGTCGACTTAACTTGAGTCACATCAATTTTGGATAATATTACCTCTATTTTTCCAGTTTTTCGAACTATACTTGCTACAAGTCATCAATTGTTATTCAGTTTCTTTTTAAACAATGTTAAACCATTATTTATGATTTGTTTCATTAATGATGATGGTTTTATATTTTAAAGCATTCGTTATAAACTTACGTAAGATCTTGACAATATAAGCGTGTTGATTGATTTGGTTTCTTCTCCATTTTTACATCTTTTTCAAGTTTAGTTCTCTCTATTTTAATAATCGGATAGAAAGTTTTACCAGTTTCATAATGGTGTTAATATATATTTTGATTACCTGTTTGAAGACAGTTGGAATGAACTCCTAGGTTTATGATTCATAGGTATTGTTTCATTTATGTGTATATGTTAGAAAAATCTGTTATCTAACTTGTCTTATTTAGTGATATTAAGTTCATTCAGTTAATTGTAAATTATGAAAAATATATTTTAAATGTTATTGTCTTTTTCAAATTAAAACAATAAAATAAGGAATTCTTGAATCCATCTTCATTTAATAATTTCGGTGGAAATAATAATCAGTCACATTCAATTACAAAATCAACTCTTCATCCTGGACAAGTATCATTAAATGATCTAATTAGACGAGTTAAAATTTGTCTGTGTTATGCTGCTGGTTTATCATCAAATGCGAATTCTTTAGAAACAAAAATGGAATCCATGAACTTGATTGCTTTGTCTAAGGAGTTAATTGCTGCAGCCACTTGTTTCTTGTTAATGGTCAAAGTGAGTTGCAAATTTTCAATGTTCACTATAATATAATATCTGTTGAACTGTGTAGAGTTATCGTAGTCAGTCAGTGGATAGATAGTTGAGGAGTTCAACTTTTATTTACCAAGTTGCAGGTTTGAATACTGCCCGACATACTTTTCGGTTTTAGCAACACTCACATTTAAAATATAGCTCTGGAAGCTGAGCACACGAATCTCTACCTTGTTATGAGGTAGTAGTAATGGTAGTGTCATACCTTAATTTCCTGTAAATGAATACTTTATTGGTTATTTAAGTGGGTCAAGGACTTGGTGGTTAAATCACTTGACTTTCAACCAGCAGATTGCAGGTTTGAATATGGGCTCTCCCCGCTCCACCTGCTTTGATTTTAGTACCTAATTAGTACAACTAGACCTCATGCAAATGACATTCTTCAAAACAATATATATATACTTGTATTTAGTAAAAAATTATACTTCGTTGTTAGTATTTTCATGTGAGTATATGGCCACTGTGTAGAGTAATCAGTGACAAACTTAGTCGTATTGTGTGTAATTATGTATCAGGTTATTGACAATATTTAAATGGAACAATGCTTGCCGTTTTACTTTCGGATATTTTATGGTGTTACCTTTATACTCCTAATTTTTATCTTACGAAACAGCAAATAATATCCATTTGTATTGTTTGTTCGGATCTTCCCATTGATCAATTTCAGTCCTAAACATCAATCGGAAGATTCAAACGAACAGTACAAATGAATTAAATTTCACCTCATTTCACAAGCCAGTGGTTACCTGGAATCAGTAACTAAGTGGATAACACGATAGTGTTTGAAGCAAGTGATACTGGGTTGGAGTCCTGAAGTGAGCATCAAATCTCCGATCCAGGTACATTGAGCTGACAAGTCCTGAATCCTACTGCTAGCTACCATCCATTTCTACTTGCAGTGAATGATGTCATTTTTATCTTGAGGTTATTGTAGCTCAGCTTGAAAGTATTACTAAAATAGGTTTGTCGATGTAATATTACTTGCTTATGGGTAATAGATGAGTACATGAACATTAGTTTTTCAGTTTAAACCTGCTAGTTATTTATAAGACTGCGAATTAGTTGCTCGATTATGAATTTTGTAATCCGTTCATTTATTAAAGATTAAGAATTCAATTGATGTAACACTGATCTTCAACACAGTTTGTATGTATGCATATATTTGTGTTGATATCACTAAGTCATAGTTGTACAGTACTCAGAAAGAAAAGTAAACTACTATGAACGGATTAAACTAATGTGTTTGTTATTTATAACCTGAGGTAAAGACGAGTTTTTCTTCATATTGGAATTCATTTTTCGCAGTGTCCTTCCACTCATTTATGATGTCTTATGTACAATAAATCTGGGTTATGAATTACATTAGTTTGTGTTCATCTGAAGAATGATTTTTCATCAGTCACTGGAAATCAGTGCAACAGATTACTATCGTTCTATGGGAATTTCCTATTTTAACTTTTCACTGAAAATAGTACTGAATTTGTTGTAAGGTATGCTGAGTATTGTATTCAGTTGTTCATTTTCACCATTGAAGAAAAAAACATTCAAGTCTGTTAGTCATTGAGTTATAATCAACGTAGGGCTTGGTATAAATGTGCGTTGGTTCTAGTTGTTCTATTATAGAAAGGTAGGATGAGACCAAATTAACAAGGTGAATAGCAAAGGAATGTAGTAGCAGTTATGATTTGAAAGACTAAACATTGAAAGTATGGTACAAAAAGATGGGATCTAAAAGTATGCGTGAAGGAATACTTCAACTCAAGACCTAGAGAAAATGATGAAGAGCCAGTGCATTTGCACCATCGTGGTCGATTCTAAGCCACATTACTTATTATCTTCAACTTCTGGCCACAATAACCGTACAGACCCTAATCAAGTAGTCTGTACCTACCAGCTTGGGTATGATCAACAATTAAAAATTTCATGGACCAGTGCCGTATCTCCGTTTATTCTCTTTCTTCCAACCTATTCCTACATTGGATGACATCGCACCTTGAAGTAGGTAGTGATCGAAAATGCTTGGTAAATGTCTTAAATCATTTCAGTTGATAAAGATTCCAACCTCAACCGATTTGGTATTTTTTCCTGGTATCCTATTCCAGTAAGGATTCAAATAATGGAAAGTAAATCTATTGCTGGTTGGTACAACTGGATATTATATATTGATTTTTGTCAGTGTGTAACATATATAAGCCTTGTCCATTTGAAACATTAAGTTGGTTTATTATATTTCTATTACTAATAACTTAAAGTGTAACAACAAAGTGTGTCCATGATAATAGTAAGAAAAATTTCCCACTTTGTATACTCTTTTCTGTTCCTGTCTTAGGAATGTGATTTCTTGTATCCTATGTCAATTCCATCAAAATCTATTTCACTACCTTCCGGAAGTATTTCATTTTGTGTCGCATGTGCTGGTTCCTTAGATTTAATTCGTATTCTTTTACATTTTCATGAAGTATTACACTCATCATCATTGTCTCATGAAAGTTCCAATTCAACAACCACATCATCATCATCAACAACAACAACAAACTCTCATGTAAATTCAGAAAAACAAAATTCTAGCCATTCAATCAAAAACATTTTAAGCGCTACCGTTAAATTTGGTAATGCAGATAGACTAAAAACTGTTATAAATGAATTTTACGGATTAATTATTCATGGATGCCTTGTCTCTGCAAATAATTCTGTAGATACAATAAATAATTTAGCATTATCTGGATCGGAACAATCCGTGCTACAACAACAACAACACCAACGTAGTTCTCGAAATTACCATCCAGGTTAGCATATATGTTTACAAAAGTGTTTTATGAATGATGTTAACTAGTTTCCGTTTCTCTTTGATTAATCGTTAGACGACTAATCATCAGTTTATCTATTACTGTTGAGAAATGAATTGTTTTGTGAAAATTTTACGAGAACCAGTCAAGATGAGTTTAATGAATGATCAATTTGAATTTTCAAACCGCGCCTATGACACTCATATCCTGATTGACTGGGTTCTAAAAACATAGCAAAGCACTTATAGATATCTGGATATTTTTCTCTGTGGTATTGTTTGTTGGAAGGATGAGCAAATCTTTGACTTTCGTTTATCTTGTTAGCAGCCTAGATGTTGAGTCAACTCGTGAATTGTAGTCAGATCTGGTTTGTAACAGTCAAGCAGCACTGGTGATTTACTTGTAAATCCTTATGTCAGTCAGTCAGTCAGTCAGTAACAACGTAGAACTTCGTACGTACGTACATCAGTTCGAGTTGCCACACCACATTAGCACAGAGATGCACTTGTCGATTCAAATCCCGTAGTGGTAGAGGTAATAAGAGTATAAGCAGTAATCGGGAAGATTAGGGTTTGGAGATGTTATTTAAAGAGTATAATCCAGTGAAAGAAATTTGGAAAGAGGAAAAAAAGGGACATGAAGAATTCAGAAGATTAGAATTTGGGAGAACACAGAGAGTGGATGCACCTGCGCCATTGCAAACGATTTTGAGCCATGTCATTCAGGGTCTCTAACCATCGGTTGCTATCATCTCGCGGTCCCCAACCAGGTAGTCTACACCTACCAACATGACTCAGTTCACTTGTCAGTGACTTCATGGACTTGTGCCATGTTTTGGTTTGGCCGCCCCTAGCTTTCTTCCAACCTACTCCTATACCACTGAACATAGCACGTCGAGGCAGTCGGTCGTTGGGCATACGTAACACGTGTCCCAGCCATCTCAACTGATGAAGTTTCACTACTTCATCAATTGATTTGCCATCCTTACCTAGTACCCGTTTCCTAACAACTGTGTTACTTACTCGATGGTCCCATGATATATGAGCAATGTTTCGAAGACACCTATGATCAAATACTAGTAACCTACGGATATCCTCTACTCTTACCGGCCATGTTTCACTGCCATAAAGTAGGACGGAACGAACTGCTGCGCAGTAAACACGTCCTTTGGTTGATAGACGGATATCTCGCCTACGCCATAAATGACGCAAGTTGGCAAAAGCTAGTCGAGCCTTCTGTATCCGTGCTGAGATTTCGTCACACACTAAACCACAAGGGCTGATGAGACTTCCAAGATAAGTGAAGCGGTCGACACACTCAACTACTTCACTCCCTATCACTAGTTCGGGTGTCGATGTAACCCAATCCTGAAGCAACATTTTGCATTTCGAGGGAGAGAATCGCATCCCGAACATGCTTGCATTGTTGCTTAGAGTGGCCAGAAGACTCTGCATTTTGTCAGTGTCTTCACCAAATAAAACGATGTCATCAGCATATTCTAAGTCAACAAGTGAACCTCCTGGTAGAAGTTCAACCCCTGTAAATTTAGATGAGGAGAGTGTTATCTCTAAAAGTACGTCAATGACAAAGTTGAACAAGAATGGGGAGAGTGGACAGCCCTGACGAACACCACTTGAGGTGATCAATTCTGATGACAGTTCGCCATAAGCTCTCACTCGACCAGTTGTGTTCGAGTAGAGAGCCTTTATAAGGTTAATGTACTTCTTTGGTACTCCTTTCAGTGACAAACACTGCCATAGAACCTCACGATCAATCGAGTCGAATGCCGCCTTAAGGTCGAGAAATACTACCATTGTGGGGCGTCTGAATGTGTGTCTGTGTTCTAGAACCTGACGTAGTGTGAATATCTGATCTATACAACCACGTCCAGGTCGAAAACCAGCCTGGTTTTCTCTAGTCTGCTCTTCACGAGCTTTAGTTAGGCGTCGAAGTATTATTGAAGCTAATATTTTAGACACTATATTAGTCAAACTGATTCCTCTGTGATTGTCACAAGAGGACTTTTGTCCTTTCTTAAAAACTGGCACAATCAGTGATTGAGACCAGTCAGATGGGATTACGTCCAGTTCCCAAATTCTACCTAAGACCTCAGTTAATCTCATTGCTAATACTGGACCACCATCCTTAAAAATCTCAGGAGTAAACCTGTCAGGGCCTGCTGCTCTCCCTCGTTTCAGATTTCCTATGGCTTTTTCAACTTCGTAAAGGGACGGAGGACCTACATTAACTTGCCATTCAGGTTGACTGGAGATCGTGGGAAACCGAAGTGTGGCTGAAGGCCAGTTGAACTGATCCCTAAAGTGTTCTGCCCATCGATCCAATCTCCTGGATTGAGAATGAATAATATGTCCATCTTTCTCTGAGATTGTTTCGCTAACGGTCGGGTTCCTAATTCCGGTTTCCTTAACGAGTCTGAACAATTGTCTGCTATTACCTATTGCCGCTGCCTTTTCCATCTCTCTTGCTTTCGCTACCCACCACTGTTCGCGATCATTGCGTAGACTTCTTGTCAGCTTGCGCTTAAGCTGACTCCGCTCTTCATTATGTTCAGAGCCAGGTGGAATGTGTTTCCGAGCATCTATCAGTGAGATAGATGCTGCTGAGATCCAGTGTTGCTCCCTAACCTTCTGGTTTACCTTACTAGCAGATATCACTGCTGTTTCCACAGCTTTTCGGATATCATTCCATGCTGCATCGGGGTGGGCATCACATACATGGCTGCCTAACTGTTTTCCTAGTTGTTCCTGAAATATACTCTTAGCTTGACTATCATTAAGTAGGGCCCTAAGAGGTTTCCTTGCAGCGTCTTTCCTACGTCCAGTAAGACGCAAGCAAATACGCGCTCGCACTAGAGCATGATCTGAATCTAGGCATGTGCTCCAGAATGAGCGACAGTCTTCTATCGAGCCCCTCCATCGGTGGCTGATAGCGATGTGATCTATTTGGGTCCAACGTTGGGACGAATTAGGGGGTCGCCATGTTAAAAGATGTTTTTCCTTATGCTTAAAGTTAGTATTTGCAAGGAACAGGCGGTTATCTGAGCATAGCTGCAACAGACGGTCGCCATTATCTGTTCTTTGAGCCACGACACCATAAGATCCACCTAGGTGTCTTTCCTTATCGCTTAGTTTACCTACTTGAGCATTAAAGTCACCGGCCACTATTACTACATCCGAGCGCCTAGCTTTTCGGAGAAGGTCCGAAAGCTTTCTGTAAAACTCATCTTTTACATCATCTGAGCTGCAGTCAGTGGGAGAATAGGCAGAGACGACGAAGAGGCAACGACGAGTGTCCCTATCTTTCCGGATTCTTACTGTTCCGTTCAGTCGGACAGCGCACAAACGACTGTCTACTGGGATCCACTCTAAGAGAGCTAGTTCTGCCCTAGGACTCAATGCTATACCTACGCCGGCGAGGCCACGGGAAGCAGAATCAGGGCTTCCAGATACACGAAGCGTAAATCGAGTCGGTTCTTTATTTTGGCATGGTGAGGTCAAATGAATGACGCTACTTGGATCCTGTATGCGCGTTTCGGAGACGCAGCACACATCGATGGCGCGAGATTCTAAAGTTTTAGCTAAGGAAGCCTGCTGTCCTATTTGGCAAAGTGTTCGTACGTTAAAAGCTCCTACGTGTAGTTTAGAGCGTGGTTTCAGGAGACCAGGAATGGCGTTCCACGTACTCGAATCGTTTGCCCTAGCGGTGCGAGGTGATAAAGAGACGTGAGGAGGGTTAGTCGGGAGGATAAGAGAAGTATTAGGAGGTGTAGGAAGGATTTGAATGTGACCACCTTGGTCTCTTGTGCTGTTACGGGTATGAGGGCTGATGTCACTTCCCGGCTGCCCACACCGTGGAAGGGTATTTCTTGAGGAACCTGAAAAGGAAATTGGATTAGTGTTGGTCTTGACGACCTGGGAGCGTGACCGCAGAGCCCAAGGGACAACTGCTTGAGGCCGGTCGCGCACGGCCTTTTTGTGGAAGGTTTTTGACGTGTTAGCTCCGTTCTTCAAGGGGCCTTACCGCCGGAGACGGAAATCCGTGAGGTAAGGTGAGGTGTGCATTTTTAGGGTCGACCTTTTCTAACCCCACCCCTCCTTGTGGGAAGGCAGCATCGCTGTCATGCTGGTTGTCCGAGGGAAACACCTTACTGCTGTCACACCTCTCTACAGTCAGCAGTACGACTTCGCCCTCAGACCTTGAGTTGCTGCTTTTAGTCTTACCGTTCGCCAATCGACCTGCCTGGCATGGTAGAACCTGCAGGAACATATGTTCCAGCCAATATAGCTCGGTTGGGTCATCACGATAGGCAAGCCCGATCACCGCGTCAAGGTAGCAGCTTCGATCGGGAAATCCTTATGTAATTCTGGCGCTAAATAAATTTACGAACAGACTGTAGGAGATGTTTGTAGATTACTTTTACGAAAAATAATCATTTTATAATGTAGTTTACTCATCTTTAAGTATCTAAAATAATAATTTTTTTAAAAATTGTAGATCTCACTTCACAATACGACTCAATGCATAATCTTAATAAATAGTTTTTACAATTAACTGAATGGATTCATCATAATTAGTTTAATGTATAGATTGTATTTGTCAAAGATTGGTCTCATTTCAGGTAACATTGAAAATCAGGCTACCACTGAATAGATGGGGTGCAGTAATGTCTGAAGCCAAAACAACTTTATTCATTAACAATGGAGGATTGTAGCAATTCATTACAGAGATTGACCAACTTTGAAACTGTCCCGTTAATTGAAGATGCAGTGGTTCTAATGGTTAGACGTTCACCATAAAAACTGAATATCTTGGATTCAATTCTTGGTGACGTTGTGAATGTTTACTTTTAAAAAGTCTCAAACTAGAACAGATCATCTATTCAATGCTTCCTAGTCTTCTATAGTACTTTAACTAAGATCAATGTTTTTAATTTGACAATTAGTTTGTATATTTTCCAATATTAAATTTCATTATTAATATTGTATGTAAAGTTTTTATTTATTTATTTATTTACAGATACATTATCTAATCGTTCTGGGATCAGTTTGTCTAGTTTATACATTATAGGTGAAATGTTAACAACAATAGATGAAATTTCACTTTTAATGTCTACTGTTGGACTTAAATTTCCATTAGATAATAAACGTATACTTTCTAATTATTCATTTATTGGATTACAATTATTAGATTATTTAATAATTGGGTTTGCTCAAATTACACATCAAATTTGTGGAAAATTTAATTTACAAATTTTAGAACAAATAATTAATTGTTTTAATACAGTTAATAATGTAGAAAATATAAAAAATAATGAACAAGTGAATGAAGATGCATTAACTACAACAAAAGGGACAACTACTACCATCACCACCAGTGTTACTAATACATCTACTGATTCACAGTCTACTACTAGATTTCGATCTTCTAGATGGGATAAACCAAAAGATAATTTATCCACTACTAAAAAACATAATAATAGTAATAAACGATATCATTCTGACAGTCATGAATGTGTGTCGTTTCTAGATAAACAACTGTGGATTTTAGACTTGGAAACGAATTCTTCAGTAAGTCTGTTTATATACATGTTATATTTATAATAGATAATTCGATTTATATGATAGTTTTCCAAAATAACTCATTTATATACTGAATACAAGTTTATATAATTGGCTTAATGACATAATTTTTCTTCGTGTGTGATGTAATTAATGTTATTATTGTCTAGCTATGGATTGAATGTTTAATTTTTGATGTAGGCTTTGGACTTCCATTGTTTTAGCTAGAAAGCTACAGTTTTATAAAGAAATTTGACTCTTGTATTCCAGTTCTCAGTGAATGCAGCAATTAATATTGTCACTCATGAAATACTTATATTTATTTTGCATACAAGCTAGTTACCAAAACACTTGTCATAATACTGCGTAAAACAAGTAAAACTTAATCGTTCATAATTCATCTCATTCTATAACATAAATTGGTGCAATTGGTACATGAGAAAGGAAATTTACAAGTTTTATAATGAACTGATCTTAGTTAGATAACCAGCACGAATATGGAAGCACTGGACAGTCGTTTCGTTTTTGTATGAAATTTCTAAACAGTATGAGTCTACTGGTGATCAGACCCGGGACATTCAAATCTTGCGGTGTGTGCTTAATCCACAGTCTATCAAGTTAGCATCCAATGTTCCACGTATTTAACTTTAATCACTATCGTGGTAGAAGTGTCTAACGTTTCTCTGACTGAAATCAGTCCGTAAAGTAAACTATCAAATTCAACAATCTCCATAATCTCCCTACACTAATGGGGGAATTTAGTCAATCAGAAAAAAAGGAGAATAAAGCGCATACTAAATAGTAATGAAAAGTGGAATATGAAGAATAACTCCAGAAACCAATCATACTTATCAAAAGAGTACAATTTCCGTTGATTATCACAGGATTCATCAAAGTCAGACTGAGTCAGAGTTGTGGGTATTTAGAGGTAAGATTAGAATAATTAATGGTATTTGATATATTGTATCGAAAAGATATAGTCGAATCTATCCGAGACTCACTTTAGCGGCTACAAGTTCCCGGCACTTAAAGACATGACGATCGTGAACCTATGTGAAAGGTAGTCCTTTGTAATTATAAGTAATAAGTAAAGCCATGAATAATGTATACAGTAACTATTATTTCAAACAAACATCACAAAAATACAGTTAAGTGCTCTAGTGATTATCAACCCATAAAATATAAACAAACAAAATTCTTCTTATCTCTAATAGTCTTTTTGGTAAAAATACACTGCGGAGACTACCTTGAACAACCCATCAATCTATTAGAAGACAGCGTTTAGTTCTGAAACAATTATAAGTAAAAAGTAATAACATTACGGTCTATAAAACGTTTTAAAGGGATTAGTGGACGTATCAGAGAAGACCGAAATATCCCTCGTCAAAGCTCCTAGACACCCAGAAACTCCATGAAATTTTATATCCAGTCAGCGTTGAATAGAGTCTTTGCAGAAACATTCATAAAATGCAGAATCACGTCCCACGGTTTTGTTTGGAAATTTACCTACGCTGTTGCCATATTTAATGGGGTTCCAGAAGTCCTAGGTCTCATATGACTGTACATACCCTCATTTTTCTGTACACAAACTAACCTTGAATTAAAGTTTTATTGGCAATTCTTACCCTCTCTCTAATGTTTCAGTTAACATGGAGAATTAGTTAGAGTTATCAAAGCCGGCCAAGAAGACAGTTTAGATGTATTGGTGTCAAGATTTATCTGAACCCAGACATATGGAATTATAGATAATCACAAACGAAAAATGTTAAATTTGGGAGTTGGTTAGTTTGCGAATACTTTTTAGCTGCCCAAACCACTGTTGACTATGTTCTAGAACTCATCGATTACTAGGGTCATTAATTAATTAGCATTCTGGATGCAGTCTGCACAAAGAGCCGATGGTTTTGGTATAGTGTCTTACATAACACGTCACATTAGTCGGGTGTGGTTGCACTTTTAATCGTCTTAATAATTAAATATCGACAATTATTATCTACCTGTTCATAAGGTACAAGCCATCCGATCGTGTTTTGACTTCACGCGAGGGTCCAGGAAGTGCTGTCTAGTATCTTGTCGGTTTGGCGATATAGTGTAGTTTTACTGTCTTAAATTTTTCTAAAAGATACACCAATTTTTGTAATTACATTTATATTTATAGATCTGTGGGAAATCGTTATGTGATCACCTGAATTATTTCTTAAATTGGGGTTTAACTGCTCGACCTGAAAGAATAGATTGGCTTATATTACGTGGTGAAATAGAATTTTTCGTGAAAAATTACCGTCAAGCTTTGTCAACATATCTCGAATTTGGTAGCGTTGTCACGGACGCATTCTCAAAGAATGTTTTATCAGTCTTTTTACAAAAGAGGTATTACGATTTTATTATTGTGACGGTTCATATATATATATATATATATATATATATATATATATATATATATATATATATATATATATAACTTGTGCCCTGTTAATGTATAACTCCCATTACTTCATTGTCTGAAAACACAGTTATATTGTATCTGGGTTTTTTAATAGTAGCTAGTGTAATTACGCTAAAAATTTGTGTAATAGTTTTGACTGAGCGCCCACAGTATATACATATTTTAGTTCTGTGCTTCCTTTTGAGTGAAATTTTCACCAGAAGGTTACTACTAATTAGTTGTTTAAATGGATTTAATAGATTCTCCTCATCCACCCTTCCCACAAATCATTCCCTTTCTATTTAGATTTTATTGGGTAAGTGTTCTTTATTATATATGGATTTTGTTAGTTTACTGCTTTTGTGTATGATAACTTATAGTCAGTTGTTTGTGGAAATAGATAGACTTTGTCGTTTTTATGATGTCTTTGTTTCAATGATAATCTTTTCTACATATTCATTTACATAGTATCAGTGTGTAAAGTCTAAGTTGTAGGTCATTGTCCTTTTATTATTAAGAATACTTAATTAAAATACTCTCATCTGATGCATACATCTACACATTACTATGTATTATCGTGGACTTTAAATCTATACATTTCATCTGTTCAGTTTTACAAACTTCGTAGAACTGTACAATATTTCTCATCTATAATAGACTTAATTTGTTTCAGCTCATTAGCTTTGTTGATTGTTTTTTTGCGAATCTGTCATCATTTTTCTATTATAACAAAAGCTACTAGTGTTGAATTTATATATATTAGTTCATTTAGTCTTCGGATTGATGTTTAGGGCTGCAACTGATACGTGAACCCTGTACGGATAGCCTCGTGATTGCCGTTAAGTCACACGCATTTTGAGCTTAGAAATGGACGGTGGCTAGCAGTTGGAGCTGATGAATCGCAGTCCTAAACGTCATTTGGACGATTCAAACAGCCAGTATATATATGAATTAAAATTCTCATCTTACAAACCAGTGGTTATCTGAACTCAACAGCTAAGTGGATAATGCGATGTCGCTTAAACCGAAGGGTAGTAGGTCTGAGTATCGTAGTGGACATCCAGGTACATCGAGTTGAAAAGTCTTAAACAGAACAAAATGCACATTCTAGATCCTCCTGTCATGTACTATCTATCTTTACCTAAAATACTATTGTCCAAATTTAATGATGGGATGATATTGTTCTTTTTAAGTTGGATGGCTTAATTGTGAAATCTCAGTTGCTGTTCTAGGCTAATTTGCTATAGATGTAAGCTGGTAAATGATATCACTAACTTATTCCTGAAAATGGACTAATTTATCACTAACTTTTATCCAAAGTAAGATTCTGCTTTCAATCATAAAAATTGAAATTTCGTAATTAAACCATCCAACTCAGAGGACACAACACTACTAAAACTACAAAACTTATGCATAATTCTTCATCATTCCAATGTCATTTAAGAATATAATTTTATTTTTATGTTTTTGTTTCATGTTATTAAGTTGGTGTTTCGTATGATGTGTTGTCTTCAATATCTCGGATTATTTTATGAAAGTGTTGTTCTTTCACAATTCGGACCATCCTCTGATGAATCTCTTGTGGATAATGTCATTCAAATTATTAATAGTCTAGGTGAAAATTCTAATGGTTGGCCAATAACTCAAATAGATACTTTTAGTACTGCAGTAATAAACCAACAATCATGTTCTTTTGATAACAGTACTTCTGCGGATTGTTTACGTGGATCTTGTGGAGGTTCACTTCTTCATACTACATTAGATTGTCCCGATAGTTTAATTCCTTATTTATGGAATATTCGTTTACTATCAGCACTCGAATGTTCTGCTTCAAATCGTGGTGCCCTTTTACAGTCTACCAAGTTTAAAGGTAATAATTGTTCTGTTGTTTTAATATATGACAGATTTTTGTCGAGTTGAATATTAAGAAACTGTATATGTAGAGAGTAGCATTGATTGATAAATTATATGGAGGTATAAATGTTGAAAGAGGTTACGTAACAATCTAACAGCTAATTAGATGTTTTTAAGACGAAAACATTTTATACAAGTGAGATAATTGTTCCTTTAATGATTATGAAGAACAGATTAAATAATTTTTTTAGTAATGGTTAATTCACTTCTGAAGAAAAAAATACAACAATAAAGACAGAAGGTTATTGAGTATGGAAGCTAGGAGCGGTGCTTAAGCCACTGTAAAGTGGAAGATCGGAAAGGTTTCGGTACACAGATTAAACTAGAATAGGTGTATTACCAAGGCCTCTGTTGTAAGTTCCTAATTTGTAATCCCTTCAAACCCCTTTTGAATTTATGGGTAATTTTAAAGAAGAATTCTGGCAGGGCACTTTCGCTAGTCCTTACGAAATGCTAAACTATTAACTGTCTCTGTTGATCTTTTTTCATAATCAAGGAGGGTGATACTAGGAGATCAGTTTCCAGAGTACTCGCTTTGTACTGCTAATACAGCTTACCACACAAAACCAGTTAAACTTAAAAATGCAGATTTATGTGGATAAAGAGAAAGCTTACCTTCATATATCCACGAAACATAGGGAGAGTTCAAAAACTGGGCGAAATAAAATGTCTTTTTTTGGTTTTAACATTGAAAGAAAGTTTAAATTCATTTTATAAATAATTCATTTTAATAATAAGTTTAGTGACACGTAGTTCAAAAACGATTTTATAACTATTTGGATCGCTTACGAACTACTTCCAAAATACCTCTCAACATCGGCAAGTAGGTTACGTGTAAGGTACGATAAGATATTGAACTGAAAAAGAAGTCATCCTAGATGTGTGTGTAAAATTCTCGACTCAACATAGATGCATGAACATGAGTACATACCAAAGAGACCTTTTTGAAGTAGAAAGCGACCATGGCTTCCTAATGTAGATCGTCTTGTTCGGTAATTTCTCATGATAAATGATGTACTGACGAATATTCCATGCTGCCATGCATTATCAAGATCTATACAAAGTTGCGAAATTGTGTACATCTTTTGATAGATGGCATACTATCAACAGTGATTGTCAATATGTTGTGGCGGATAACGTCTCATATGTACCTTATTAAAATCACTTGTTGGTACATTTTCTACGTGCTATTATTATAAAAATAAGGATTAGTCTATTCTTTTCTTGGTTAAGCATACGTCGTTCCTAGCATTTACATCAGTTTCACTCTTCTCTTTACAGCTCGAATCAATAATCCTGAACTCAATGCTAACAATCCAGATGAAATATTATTGGAAAATAGATGTGCTTTAAATCTTGAATATCTTCGTTATTTGTCCAACGTTTATTTGATTTAATCATACCACTTATGTCTGCGAATAACAGTTGTCAATACTTTTGTACATTTCTTTATATTTTGATACTGTAATACAGTTCTATAAATATGTCGACCACATTAGTAATCTGAATAGTACAGGCGATATATCTCCTTCTATCTGCGTGGGATGATCGATAACTATACTTATTGATGATTTCTTAGTAATAGACATGAACCAAATTTTGCGTTGGAGATTCCATCGAAACCCCACAGCTATTATTTTACCCTTAGTCTATCGAACATTAAAGGAGGAATTTTTTATGAGTATTGTTACATTCGAATTCCCTATGATTCCGGAATATTCTGCATAACTTCTAGGCTTATCTGTCGCTTACTAACAGAACACCAGTAAATCAAAAGATAACAACTTTGCTTAAAAAGACGATATTATGTGGGTTTGAATATACGTATGAAAATCACGCGAATGTCGGAATAGTTACGCAACGAGATTCCTTCAGTTCGGTGTGTGCTTAATGAATTTGGTGCAACCAGGCGATCGAAAAAGGTAGAAGTCTGCTGTCGGGCAGAAAACCCCAAGTTGCCAGTAAGGTAAAATATAAGACGAGCTAATTGTCAAAGAGAAGTGTGTAGAATTATGGTCTTGTTTGGTATTATTTCATTTATTCTTGTCACTATGATGGTAGACAGTGTCACATACCGATGAGAATAATAAATTGTAAATATATATATATATATATATATATATATATATATATATATACCTCTCGTAATAGGCTTTATTTTGACCTACAGAATATTATTATACGATTTACCATTCCTAAGTTATGCCCAGTTTATCAATTGCAGTCTCCCACATTCATAGCCACTTTTGGCTAGATCTTGTACAAATGTTATTTTCTACTTTATGGTGTGATGTGGTCTGTTTGGTTTTTATATAAACCCAGTACGTTTGAAATATATGATTCATAATGCGGAGGCTGAGATTTATGTTTTGGACTCAACAGGCAGGAAGAAGGACCGGTAAGGATTCTAGATGGCTCGTACGGCTTTGTGTCATTGGTCCGGTTGATAAGTCACTGTTCTCGAAGTTGCGGTATCATTACGTTATATATTAATAAGGCACAAGGCCTCAGGTTATAACAGACTTAATCCTAAAAGTAGGTTTGTCATAATATGACCACCTAATCTCTAAGGTCTTACTTGGAAGTCACATCACAATCTACTCTGCCTGGTCCTATTGCGACAATCATTAATATAATCTCTAGGATTTCTGAACAGTACATTTGATCTGGGGAGAGAGTAATATGTTTTGTAGGAAAGCGAGAGGTTACACATAGTGACCACGATTTCATGGCCCTTCTATTCTATAACGGTTAATATTTTTCGCGTTCACCAATTTTGAGTGTCTCAGCAGTTATATGTTCAGCTTCAAAGATAGTGTGATAAGTAGCGAATATCACTACGTGTGGTCCACCAAAAAGGAAGTTCATAGTATCCCAATAGCTTACACAGTTGAACGGTCGAAATTTGCAACAGCTGCACATGTTTCTAACTATCAAGAGGCACTGTTTCTATTCTCTATGGATGACCAGATTAATGAAACAAGGGACAACAGTCCATTATGTTGGCCATCAAAGTCCAGTGCTTTGGTAAAACAAAATCGAGACAATCAGTGTGGAATTATGTATCAACAAAAAAAATAATGCGTCCAAATGTGATAATCTCATGCGAGCCGGAAGATATAGTGAAGTCGTCGAAGGACCAAATTTGCACTCAAGGGGAGACGAATTGCTGTCGTGTTTAGTGATAGGATTTTTACACCTACGAAAAATGTATGACGGTCATCACGGTACAGGTAACTCGTTGTCATGAGGACGCTTACGTCCTACAACCGACCAACACGTTTAGACGAGCTTAAGCAACCAATAAGCAGCAACGACTCTGAGTTAGTTTTTCCTAGATCCATAACATATGAAAAGCTTTGATAAGCATTAGTTGTCATAAATGAGGTCAGCGCAGGGGATATATGTTGAAATTTAACCCTATAAAACACGTTGATGAGGGAGCAGTATATTATGTTGTGATATTCTTATATTTAGTAGTTGGCTAGCAAGTAAACGAGAGACTCTTTAGTACATGCAGATAATTAAGGTCAGCATAAAAATTCTGCCTCAAACCATATCTTTCCGAAGTGGCCCATTTCTTTGCCAATCCTGTTTTGAAAGTTTCTGAAAAAGCTTTAATAAAAACCATCCAAGCTGTTTGAATATTATGGATACTATAAAGATGGGAGTTGTCTAGTAGGAGTATCCAGAAAACAGCAGTGGTCTGGACAGCGTATTCACAACAATACTGAGATAAGTTAATGTGAAATTGCTGCGTCAACAACGGGTGGGTTGACTCCGCGTACGAGTACTCTCGGATATAACCATAACGCTCGACTGAGGGCTTTCACATAGTGATTTCCGTGAAAACTAACAAGGTCTGGATTGATATTGTGTGACTAAGTGCTGAAACGGCCAAAAATCTCACGGTTAATGAAGGCTGCTTAAATGAGCTTCTTTTTGATATCTATGCGTCATGAATAAAGCGTTTTATCTTGAATAAAATCGAGAACATAGAAACAGGAGTTAAAAACTAGCCGATTGAGAGATAAGTTTAAAATGTAGGGCCTCTAGTTGCAAGTAATCGTGATGATTAATAGTCAGAAGTCTTGATTCAGTTTATGATCAGCAAATAGAGTGGGAGTTATGCCTCCCACTATTCCAAGAAAATATTCGACAGATAGATATATCGACTGAAAGAGCCGCAGAGAGATTGCAAAATGTTCAATGGCTTCGTAAATTATGCTAGCTGACGATTTACTTTTGTTGTACAGAAGTGTCAATACTCCATGTCACCTCTCATAACAACCAGTGCAGCCTCATGGTCAAGACACGCAAAAAGAGTTGCAAAACCAACAACTCTTCTCAGTCTTCTTTCCATCCATCTATTGCTTCTGGTGTCACATGTTTTACTTTAACTCAATTTTTTAGCAGACCTGTTAATGGTCGTAACGGTTGTGGGTGATTGAAATAAAATCACCATGTAAATTCATCAGCTTAATCAGCCCCCTAAACTTCATACGTGAATATGATATAGGATAGTCTCGTTTCTTATAGATTGATAATAGGATTAGTGTGACATCATAAAGATTTCTGGCATTACCTAGGAATCTGGAGATTTCTTACCGTATTAACTCTTTTCACGGCATGTAACAACACTGGTGATGGCATACTGAAACTCAGCACCATCATAACGTCGACGGTAATAGACTCCCTCAGCAGGTTTGGGTCTCCCAACACATGGTCTCCAAATGCAACGGTCGTCCCCAAAAACTGTGAATGATTGGACCCCCGCTAACAAAGTTAAAAAAGGCCAAGCGTCACAGTCTAAGAAGTTGAACGTCTTAAGAATGTCCGTCCGACCATCAGACAGTTCAGGAACTGGAAACTCGCCTCGACCTCCAAACAACAAGGTCTCGAACCTGAACGCACCGGAAAACCTAGGAAAACAATAACCGTTCGTGACGATTCTCTTATAATCATGAACCTCAAAGATAGCTCTGATCTTCTCTTCAGTTTGCAGGACAAAAATGACAGGATGCTCTGGTGAGAGTTAAACAAGAAACTTGAACTACCCAAAATAAAGCCTTTGATGGCCACACGGCTCACTCGGGGAAAGGACTCTAAGCTACTCTAGGCTACTTCGTATAACACTCACTAATGCTTCCGACGTAGAGGGTATCCTACTATCTAGTAACCTACTGAAATCTGACGGCAACGTTAGAATACTGCCTGACACACCGTATTCTGAGCGCGATCTCATCCGGAAAATCCCTAAGGAATCTCGCGAGTTTTTCCGCAGGAGAAATATCATTGTGCAAGGTGTATCGGCAAACACAGACCCTGGTCACACAAACTGTGACACTAGGGAATGGAAATTCATCAAGTGATTTTTGAAGCCTTAAAACATACTGACTCAACAAGCGATGAGACTAGTCAAGAAGGACGGGGATTCTAGATCGCGGCTGATGAAAATAATTTTCCAATCCTCCCATATGGGGGCTGCAACTCTGGAAGCATTTTGTGCCAACAGGCTTCGATCGACAACTGGAATCCATATGCATCCGGATAGGCCACATGGCATCAGGATCAAGCACATAGGCAAGTTGGAGCTGGCCACCCAACTTGTGGACTGTCTTGATCATAAATAACGTGTAAAGGACAGGGGCTATCAACTTAGAAGACCTTGTATAGGTAGGCTACCTGTCCATTCACATAAGGCTCATACGGACAAACAGGAAGGAGAAGCTCACGCGTTTTGAATTGGAAGCATAAACTGCTTATACATGGGTGTGAAAACTCCACTGAAGCTCGGTTCTTCAGCCTCATTGAGAATCTGGGATTATTCGAAAGTGTGAAGCCGGCAACTCGTTGGAGAAACAGTTAAACACCGTCGCGCCTAGACTAGGTGTTTACAAGCGAAGAATTTCACACTCAAAACCTCTCGATCCTGGCTCCTCTGAGGAGAAGCGATCACGCCGTCATGGACTTCAATTTTTTCAGCAAAAGTGAGCTAAGACATCCTGCCGGCAACGGGCTCTGGAAGTTCAAATGGTTGTACGTGTCAGCTACACAGGACAATAAACAGCTGGTGAACTGCGAAGTTTACCATCAACTTGATGTGGATGCTCATTGGGATTTCCTGCTGCACACGGTCTTGTGTGCTACAAAGCAGTCAGTTCCGCAATCGGTCCCCAAAAGCTACAAGCAACCTACAATCATCAAGAATCGAACTCCTAGTTTGTTAAGCCGCAAAAGATACTGCTAGGCGGAATACAAAGGAACTGGTAACAACGGCGCATATAAACAAATAGGGTGCATATGCACAAAGGCAATAAGATGAGACAGGCTCCAGTATCAGATAAAGTTTATCGATAAATTTGTCTCCAATCAGAAAAGCTTATTTCTTCGTGCAACCTCTCTTCGACAAGCAAATATCTCAGTTTTACAACTGCTAGGTTCTAAAGGCCCGAATAACAACGACAGTGAAGCCGCTAACCTTCTGACTGAACAGTACTCTGAGATATTTCAACCGACCCACACTAACTATTTTGATGAAAGTTTCATCTGCAACTCCACGGGGCTTCCCGAAATGAGCCGAGCGCTGACTTGGTGTACCGGAAACTGCAGCACCTAAAAAAGACACTTCTCCTGGTTAGGATATAGTTCATTCTGCTATACTGAGGGAAGCAACTTCAATTCTGGCAACACCGCTTAGTGTGATGTTTTCACACTCGCTAAACCGAAGCAAGCTACCGGAAAGTTGGAAGCAGGCTCACATAACATTAATTTTCAACGAGGTCGACGCAGCGGACCTTCAAGCTACCGACCGGTGGCTCTTCTCTTTATACCTTCAAAATTATGAAGTCCCTGATATGCGACGGTATACACGACTATCTATTATCCGAAAACTTTTTTTACCCTAACAGTATGGTTTCAGGAAGGGTTATTATGGTATAACAAACCTGCTGACTGCGGTGGATAGATAGACAACCATCGCTGGTCACAAGGGAAGGTTGACGTCATTTGCCTTGACTTCTCAAAAGCTTTTGATAGGGTCAGCCATACATGTCTAATCAATAAGCTCGAACGATTAGGTATCAAATCACCTCTAATTGACTGGCTCACTTCATATCCAAAAATTCGACATTTTAAGGTCAAGGTTAACTTCACGTGCTCTTTCAGGCTATGGGATGTCCTACTGGGGTCCCCCAGGGTTCAGTACTAGGACCTCTTCTTTTCTTGATTTATATATACGATCTTCCACAACAGGTATGGTCTGACTTATTACTTTTATGCTGATGCTGTGCAACTTTGGAGGGAAAGATATGCAACCGAAAGGATATACTGGCACTTTAGGAGGATCTGACTTGACTTCAAAGTTAGGCAGATGATAACGGACTTACTCTTAACACTTCAAAGTGTAAAGTAGTCCATCTGAGACATGTTGCAGACTACAGTTACAACTTGGGGAACTTCTCTCTAGAAGCATCCTAAGTTGAAAATGTTTTAGGAGTACTGGTACCCTACGATTTGAAGTCTTACGTTAACTGTGACAAAAATGCCTTACGAGCAAACCGTACACTGGTAACATTGAAGCGCGTTTTTGGCCAGTTTGACGGAAGAACTTTCCACATAATCTTCAACAGTATCATTCGTCCCCATTTAGAATACAGAAATATAGTATTTCCTCCATCACCCCAAAAGGATAAAGACACTCTAGAGCGTTTCCAACGGCGAGCTACAAAATCGGTATGGGTACTCGAATTCAAGCCTCAAGAAGAGCACCTTCAATCACTAAACTTCTACTCGTCAGAGTATAGGCGTCTTAGAGGTGACTCTCTAATGGCTTGTAGTATCCTTAAGACTCCTGGACATCCCCTTAAACACTTACTTCAGTTTGGCTTCAACACATACCTAAGGGGTAACGCCCAGAAACTAGAGACATAACATAGCAGAACGGACTGTAGGTAAAACTTCTACCCATTAAGGGTTGTCAAATGCTGGAGTTCGCTGGCGACTGAGGTAGTCCAACGTTTTGCTAGGAGTCCTTTAAAACGACCTATTCTTAAGAACTAAGAATAATATCTTACTCTGACTTACCAATTTGTTTTTCCTCTATTATCACTAATATACCTAGGTTTTTGACTCCAGGTATTGGTGATGCACTGCTAATAGACACGGAAGCCCGTTAAGCGAAAGCTTCTTCAGTCTTCAGTAATAAGGATGGTAGGTTGATGAACTTGTATTAATCCTGACACATTGCTTTCCAGTGAAGGTCCAGCTTCTCCTTGAAAGTATTCACTAATGGAGCTGATACCACTTCCTCGGGTAAGACGTTCCAATGATTGACCACTCGATGAGAAAAACGGGACCCCACTTTAAGTCTATTAGATAGTGGTTTATGAACCTTCTTGCTATGACCTCGGAGATTATTAGTGCTGGAGGGAGCAAAAAGATAAGACATATTAATACCCAAATCATAATTAAAGATACGAAATGCCGCTATAAGGTCACCTAGTGTCCTACGATACGACAAGTAGAATAGGTTTGGGCGCTTTAAACGCTCATCGTAAGGGAGTCTAGAAAGACGCTTCACTAGTTTCGTTCCCACACACTGGACACGCTCAAGGGCGTTAGTATCCTTTACCAGACACGGGCTAGCTGCTTGGATACAGTACTCTAAGTGTGGTCTTACATAGGTGGGATATAAAATTCGAAACGTTTCCTCGTCAAAATATTTGAACGCTCGGCGAAGTGACCATAACGCACGAAGACCTTTGACAGCGGCTGCTTTGCAATGCGTAGTTGTTTTTAAATCATGACTTATTACTACTCCTAAGTCTTTATGCTCTTGAACGCACGGAAGAGGTTTACCCTCAGTAGTATAAGGGTGACTGTTACCGTGACCGATGTGCATCAGCACACTCTTCCTAGCATTGATTTCTAAGCCCCACTCTCTAACCAATCTAACTAAATCGTCTAAGTCAGCTTGAAGATCCAGATGATTAGCCGCACTTTTTATTGTTCTCCAGATTTTTACATCATCCGCAAACAATAATGTAGACGACCTAAGTAACAGCGGTAACTCATTAACGTAGAGAAGGAAGAGCAGAGGACCTAAGATGGTGCCCAGGAGTACACCACTTTTGCCCGGCTTCCAATCGGACAGCGTTCCGTTAACCCTTACTCTCTGTCTGCGGTCACATAAGAAGTTACCTATCCACTCATGTACAGTACCTATTGTTCCGAAGCTCGTGAGCTTCTGCATAAGACCTACGTGTGAAACCTTGTCAAATGCTTTGCTAGAATCTATGAATATCACATCGACAGACAGACCGTTATCTAGGGCTGCTGTCCAATCCTCTCTCGCGATAAGCAAGTTAGTCAAGCATGAACGCTTGCTACGAAATCCGTGTTGCTCAGGAGCTAACAGATTGTATAAATCTATGTGGCTTAGCAACCTAACCCGAATTATCTTTTCAAGTAACTTAACGACTATGCTAGTTAGACTGACAGTTCATCTACAAACAATTGAACCACTTAAACTCTAACTCAAGGTAGATTATTAAAAGAATGTTTGTTTATTGATAAATAAACAACTTCAGAGATTAAAACGCCTACTGACCTTGTAGACTTTAAAAAATAAATTTTATTTTCGACCAAATTTATTGTGACTAACCTGAAAAGCGCGTTCTATGAAGATGTTGTTACAGCATCAGCTGTTTTTCGTGCATACATTCATCGTTGATGTGTTTTGAGTTGCATGACCTTATATTACATTTGTCCTGAAAATATCTTGCGGAAATAAACAATCTTTAGTGTAAAGAAAAACATGTCCGGTTTCGTGAAAATGTGTGAACTTTGTGGTGGTCAAATTAGTGAACAGTCAGAATTTTCCTTCGAGGACATGATCACTAACTGGTTAGATGAAAATCCTGAATTCGCTTTCAAGTACTTTGTCAAATCAGCATCTCCAAGCATGGTTGAAGCCTGGGCTAATGGACGTAATCATAGTGAATCTGATGGCCTCTTTGATAACTCAATAAATGTCTTGGACGAGCATAATGATAAAAATGATGATAAAATTTCTGTGACTACTTCTCTATCACTACCAATACGTAAGATAAGCAGCCAGGATTTGGAATTAACCCATGACAAGCGTATTTTATCTTCTAACGAAGATGGAAAGCCCACATTTATAAACTCTGTGTTCTTTCCTTCCCCTGCCACTGAACACATCGATTTAAATGCTAGTCCTGCTCGTCAAACTGTGCCTTCACCAAGTCGACCAACACATCCAACTGAGAGAGATTTGATAAGTGAACTTGCTTTGGATATTTGTCATGAACTTGACGTGACATCTTTATGCTTTAAAATTGTCCAGAATGTTTGTAGACTAATTAACGCTGATCGTGGATCATTTTTCCTTGTGGAAAAGTCACGTTCAACCGGTGAGGATGTTCTTGTTAGTAAACTTTTTGACATTACATCTGAGTGTATATTGGACGATGTTTTACAACGATGTTCCTCTAATCACATCATTGTTCCTTTTAATGTTGGTGTAACCGGCTACGTCGCACGAACTGGAGATTACGCGAATATTCCGGACGCATATGCTGTAAGCAATTTTGGTAACAACGTGTTTAGTTATATTTGTAATGGCTGTCAACCACCTAGTTGGTTGATAAGTTATTTGAAATAAAAACATAATTAATTCCTTCAATAAGTATTTGGACATGAATCACACTTTAATTGCATAGGCTAATTATGTTGCTCAGTTGTCTGGTAGGAAATCGACGAATCCGAGCTCGAACCTGGAACCAAGTGGCTTAAAATCAGGCCATTTAACCACTGAGCCACTGCTTCAGACTGTCGGTTTGAGTACTAAATAAGGACCTGTGTTGCCTTTTTTATTTAGTTGCAAGTATGTTGTCATCTTAAACCGTAGTTTATAATGAATTTATTGCCACTTAGCAAATGACATTGTCCAGTAGTGTCACAAGAAGCTTTTTAACCGCATTATTCATCTTCACTTTCTGATTGATGACAACTTAAAATTTAAATTGTAAGCAGTGAATGTGATCGTTTCACCCTCTAGATCAAGGAGTTTCGATGTTAGACAATATGGTCCATATAGTTTGAATTTCAAGAATTTCTTTAGGTCTGGGTTAATGATTTAATTATGTTGTTACTGCTATTCGTTTTCATCATCTATGTTTGAAGTAAAATGATGGTTTGACTAAAATCAAAAGCAGCTAATTTCAGGCCAGATATATGTTAGCACTAACTCTATGAAGCTTTCTACCGACATTTTAAAGACCTTAATTATCTTTTGATATTTATAACCCAGTAGAATGATATTCATACGTTGATATCAGCAATTTGAAGATTAAATTATTTTTTGCGACCCCATAACGAAGTCTAGGACTGTAAACTTAGCTCCGAGCAATACGTTTTCTGTGGGGGTTAATAATGAAATTGAACTACTCTGTTCCCTAAGGCACCAATCTTACAACCCTTAGGAGATAACTCAAGACCATTGACAGTGGCACAAGAGTACGTAATATTTATCTTTCCAAGACCTAATTTTTTAAATATTACTTTGTTTTTCTCATTAGGTCGTTTAATTTATTTCACCGAACTCCTCATTTTTGGTTTTCGTTATCGATTATATCATTTTTAATTTTTTATCCATCTTTTTAACTTATTCTCTCGTTGAACTAATATGAAATGTGACAACTCGAGTCTATCTACGTTTGTTCGAAGTTCTCTGTTATTTATGATTAGTTGAATAATTCTATACTATTTTTGGTCAGTCTGTCAGTTACGTTCAAATTCGCAAAGGTTTAAAAGGCAAAATACTAGTTCTGTGACTCTTTGTCGATCACCCACCACCTTCAATATTTGTTTGACTCAGTAAACATGTTTGTTTGTTGGATGATAGTAAATGAATTTAGAAGATTTTGCCAGTTTTATTGTTAGGGTTTGCATTTTATTTCGATAAAGGTGTTAACTACCAATATTTTTCCAAATCTTTTGGCAGGATCCTCGATTTGATGATTCCGTAGATCGTGTAACAGGATATAAAACGCGCTGCCTTTTATGCATGCCTATAAAAAATGTTGACGGAAAAGTGTTAGGTGTTGCATTGGTTATCAATAAGACAGTTCCTTCTGATCAGCATCATGATCAAGGTATTAACTCAGTTCAACCTAGTAGTTGTGAGAGTGAACCAATCAGGAAACATGCGTCATTCACCGAAGAAGATGTAAAAATATTTCAATCATATGTTACTTTCTGTGGTATTGGATTACACAATGCACAAATTTATGAACAGAGTCGTTTAGAAACTTATCGGAACCAAGTAAGTACTATCTGTTCTTCTATAACTTTACTTTGTATAATTCATTCTTAAATTTTGCAAGATTGGTTTTAGTAAAAGCTATAATTTGCCAACGATACAACAAAGTTGGAGAACAGTATCCTAAACGTTTTTTTTTCCATTGGAAGAAAATTCATGATACATTTCCTTGATAAAAGGCGAAATGTGTAGTGGTAATGGGCAGAAATGTGAGCATCTGCTATTGATAATGGGTTTGGAATGTAGATCATTCAGCTACCCATAATTATCTGGCTTTCAATTGTCGTTTGACCCTCCTCGATTAATGGTAAAACTATTTTCGACAACGTGTTAAATGTAATAAAAATAGGTTTGGTGTATAAGTTGATGTACTTACTTATTTCCATCCATACTTGAAAAGGTAATTAATTCTCATTCTTTCAATCGATATGGATTTACCAACCATTAAAGTTCTTAACGGTTGTGCTTTTTGTTTTTCCTAGTCCAGGGTTCTTCGAAGTTGTGGACTATTGATTTACTTTAGTATTAATAGTAATTTTATCATTCGGCAGTTTATGAGCTATGACCTGTTTCTAAAATTTTTGTATGCTTGTAAAATACATAGGTTTAATGCAAGATCTTGTCTTTCCAGTTTTTATCAAACTTATTAAATTGTGAAACTATCCCAAATTAATCATTTCTGTTAAACATTAGTTAAATCATTTAAATTTTTCTGTTGTAAAAGTCTTATTTCAGAGGAGATTTCAAAATTATTGCATTTGTCTCCCTATTAATTAAGACGAAGCTGAAAAAACAAAAATAATATGTATTTATTCGTTAGCATCTCGAAATGTATTTAATGTTCACATTTAAATCAACCCAGTTATCTATCATCATATTACTATGCAATTCTATTTGGATAATTCAACTTAATACTCATAGTATTCAGCAGTTCTATTTAATTTCATTGAGATGATATTTTACTATGATCACTTATAAACTAGTGTTTTTAATTGAGAAGTGACATTTATCAAAGGTTATCAAGACTGGAAAGTATTTCGCTCTAGGCAAAAACTCTTCAGCACTGTTTACTGTCCAGTTATTGCTATTATTCAACAATAAGTTTCTAGATTTGATGATGACGTATGTTGGCGTACAATTAAACTTAATTTATTTAAAACAACTAGTCCCTTTAATAAATTTCGATAATGATATTAGAAGGCGAAGATTATCAGAACTATGTGATATATTAGCGCAATACATTTCGAACAATCTGGTCACACATATACTTGTTAAGAGCATTTATATATAAAAATAAAAGGTCAACTAGACAGGAAACGGGGTAGAGGAGATAATAATAATAATAATAATAATAATAATAATGATAATAATAATAACAATAATAATAATGTGAACACGATTTGGAACCTAATCACTCTGGATAATAAGTCAATATTACCAGGGTAGGTTTAAGGTAAGAACAAACTGTTTTTGAATACACAAAGGGGGTTTGAATTTTCGTATGGCTAAGGCTTCAATAAACCTTAATATACGCCCTTTTACACTTTTATACAACACTACGAAAGCTGAGTTTAGATCAATCTTGTGACCTGTTTCAATTATATGTTTAGCAATAGGGACTAATTGTTTTAAATTTCTTAAAAGAAGACTCCCTGCACATACTATTAAAAGGTTAGATGAACTTGTCAACCTTAAATGTAAAATTGTATCGGAACGCGTGAAACTGAACTTCTATAAATTTTGTTGTCGAGTCACATATTCCCAAATCAACTATACAAGAATTTACGTTCAAGTAAATTACAACCAAATATTTCAAATCTTATTCGATTGTCGAAATCATATATAGATAAGTGCCAAGACAAACTGATCAATTTAATTGAATTACACACTCAAGCATTGCCTATATTAAATGAAATATCTATAGTCTGCCATATTAAATTCACCAACTTTTGCAGTAATGTCATTTCGAAAACAAAGGAAAGGATCAGTAAAAGCTCGAAAAATCTTGTATTATTACTAATCAAGTTAATTTATTCCCAGTAAATCCTGAAAAGTATGTCACTAATTTATCTTCCATTGTATTATCTGCTAATGAAAAGGAAGCACTTTCTCTTGGTTTTAATTTCTCGTCCCTATAACGCAAATGTCTGAATTGGAAATAAATGCCCAATTTGAAAATCTATATGATCAACTGAGTACTCTAACCCCTACGTCTTTAAATAATCAAAGCTGGTGTAAAGCTAAACTAGTGGATATAGCACACCAATTTCATAATGTTGGACCGAAGCAGAGAAGCATATTAACTTCTCAGCATTTTAAATCATTAAAAGAACTACGATCAAACTCTGATATTGTCTTGTTAAAACCTGATAAAGGATCAGGCGTAGTTATCATGAATAAATGTGAATATAAAAGTAAGATGTTATCCATCCTTAGTGATGAAAGTAAATTTATGCCTGATGTTGAATTTGGAGGTATTAGCAAACTAGAAGGAAGAGTAAATTCAAACCTAGAAAAATTGTTACGCATGAATATTATTAATAAAAAGGAATTTAATTTTCTAAAACCTATGGGTTCCGAGTACCCTCATTTATATGGACTACCTAAAATTCACAAACCTAATGTTCCTTTACGTCCAATTCTATCAATGTGCAGATCACCTACACATAATCTGGCTAAATGGTTAGCAAAGTTGTTGGACCCTATTCGAAGACATCTATGTAAGTATTCTCTAAAGGATTCTTTTGAACTGGTTGATCATTTAGGTGATATTAATATCAAGAAAAAAACAATGTGTTCATTTGATGTAAATTCCTTGTTTACAAATGTACCTTTAAAAAAACCATTGATATATTATGTGATTACATATCTGAAAACAATTTTCAATCACGTGTACCTGTAAAACTTCTTAAAGATTTACTATTATTATGTACTGACAAAGTTCAGTTCACTTTTGAAGGTGAATACTTTCGTCAGATTGATGGAGTTGCTATGGGTAGTCCGCTAGGACCATTACTAGCAGATGTGTTCATGGCACATGTTGAAAATCAGACTGATGAATAATCGGAAACATGTCACTTTATAAGAGATATGTGGACGATATCTTAGTTGTTTGTGAGAGAAAAGAGGATATGTACCGTTTATTAAATAAACTTAACACTCTCCAAAACCATATTAGTCTCTCATGTGAAGAGGAGAAAAACGATCAGCTTCCCTTCCTAGATATACTTCTGAGTAGACGAGAAGATGGTTCAGTCAAGCGATCTATTTTTAGAAAACCAACGTGGACAGGTCAATATCTTAGTTATTATAGTTATTGCCCTGTGCAATACAAACGTGGTTTGATAAGGTGTCTTTTCAACAGACTCGACCGTATTTGTACCAATGACGCCATTGATGATGATGTTAAGTTGTTAAATAAAACGTTAATAGAAAATGGCTATCCTCTGAAATTCATAAATAGATGGAAAGTCCATGGTACAGCGAGACCTACTGTAGCCTCGGTAGAGAAAAAGCCTGTCTACATCACCTTACCATTCAGAGGTGATTCAAATAGCCTTTTATTGAAACAACGACTTAAATCAGTCATCAATAAAACCTATTGCGCAGCAAAGGTCATCATCAAAGAAAGAACAAGGTGCATGCTTCATTCAAAACCTAAAGTACATGGAAACGATTGCGTCACATCCCACTGTGTTTACCAATTTAAATGTGTGTGTGGTCACACATACATAGGGAGGAGTAATCGTGATCTCAACATTAGGGTGAGTGAACATGTACCCAAATGGCTTCAGAAACAAATACAATCAAGTGACCCAATAAGAGCAGAGGATAAACATCCATCATCCTCTATTGCTAAACATATAATTGAAACAGGTCACAAGATTGATCTAAATTCAGCTTTTGTAGTGCTGTATAAAAGTGTAAAAGGGCGTATACTAAGGTTTATTGAAGCCTTAGCCATACGAAAATTCAAACCCCCTTTGTGTTTCAAAAACAGTTTGTTCTTACCTTAAACCTACCCTGGTAATATTGACTTATTATCCAGAGTGATTAGGTTCCAAATCGTGTTCACATTATTATTATTGTTATTATTATTATTATTATTATTATTATTATTATTATTATTATTATCTCCTCTTACCCCGTTTCCTGTCTAGTTGACCTTTTATTTTTATATATAAATGCTCTTAACAATACTCTTAAATTTTCTAATTCCATTGAGAAAAGGCATTCGACCAAAGTAATCAAGCGACAACTTACAGACATAGTGAGAAGAATGAAATAAAATTCTGTACTCATATACGAATCGTTCAACAAATTAAAACGACCAGGTTCTGTAATATGCGAACTAAATTAGTTACCTAACGTCTATAAGTCATATCGTTCAATTGCAAGATAAATAATTCATACCATTTTAATCAATAAAGTGTCACATTAAAACAATTCTCATATGCAACTTTTCATATATCACTATTAGCTTGTTATGCTAAATTTAGTAAGTTGTTCAATTGTTCATTGCTTTTTTTGTCTAAAAACGTATTGTCGTTTAACGGAAAATGTTGTCATTTAAAACACATAGTTATTAAGCGTTTCATTGTTGAAATTCGTAATAAGTAATCATAATATATTGTTCTTCTATACATCAAGTTTTAAAGAATCAACTCATAACCACTGAGTTATATTTTCATTATGGGCGAATGTTATCTTACAATAAATTTCTGTATTTGTTTAATGTAATTCCAATTAAATACCTTCATTAAGCATAATGTATACATATCTATGCTAGTTATTTGTTTCATAAGATCAAAATCAAAACGATGAAGGCTATGTTATGGTCTGTCGACAAAAGAACTGTTTAATTCACGTGATGTTAAAGTCAGTTATGGGGAACTACCTACACTTTAATATTCGACGCTTATTATTTCGGTCAGTGTATTGTGTAAATTTAACGAAGCTGTAATTTTCTTGTCTATAAATAACTTGTTTAAAAAAAAGTATACACATTCTCTCTCTCTCTCTCTCTCTATATATATATATATATATATATATATATATATATACCCTGATGTTAGTGTTACAAACACTGATTGACTTCATATTATTACGATTTATTAACGAGATTTATCTAATCACTTGTTCAAATAACTAACTAACTAGTTTTGTTTATATGATTATTGAATTATTGAATTAACAGATTTTTATTGAATGAAATTGTTGCTTTATAGGGAATGTGAATTGTCAGTTAATTTTAACAGTAGTATAACGTATAATAGTTCATATTATTCGACATTTTGACTAATATTACCACACATTCAACCCTTCATATTATGTTATTTGATTTTGACAGTTAGTGGTTTTTATATACAATAAGTATAGTTTAAAGCTAAGCATATAAGCCTTTCAGTCAACTGCTGATTAGTGTATAAAGTGTTTAATAATGTTTTGTTTTAACTCTGTATTGTGTTAAGATTATGTAGTGTAAAGCAGTAACTAATCAGTGGTTAAAAACACTGACTTTTTGGCTAACAAGTTACAGGTTTGGACTCTTCTCCATGTATTTATCTCTGAGCAGCCAGGTGGCATCAGTATGACGCCATTACAAACGGCACATTTCCAAACCCGATACATAAACCTGTACATGGTATATGAGTTATATTTAAAAGGATCTTGCTTATCTAGTTCACAGTGCTGATCAAATCCTATCTATTAAATCACACCACAGCTACTATTTTAAGTAACTAAACATTGTGTAGAGTCTATTTTTATGTCAGATAATTAGCTCATTGCATCCTATTAAAAATTCAACATATCTTTTTATATGTTATTAGTTAATGCTACTCTCCCAAGTATTATTTTTGTTATCATTGTTATGCCTGTCTCTTTATTCTAGGTACTTTTGGAACTTGCACGAATTATATTTTCAGAACAACTTGATATAACTCGTCTTATTTATTCAGTATTATCACACACAATTTGTTTACTACAATGTCAACGTTGTCAATTACTTTTGGTGAAAACAACTTCATCTATGTCATCCTATTCTTCAATTGATGAGGTAAGTTATTAGTAGAAGGAGACTTTAAAAAAAATTTATTCTGGTATATTCATTATGATATTTATAATGATGGGATCGACTTTATAAACAAACAAATAAGTGTTTAAAATCTAATTAAACTGAGTATTAGGCTCCTTATCAAGTTATATGTTTACTTCTATAGATTTCTGTAAATTTCTAAGGTCGTTTTATTGTGAAGATTAATTGAGAAACACGAAAATATTATTGATCTGCCTAAATGTTGTTTAAGACTCGTCAGCAGTTCTGTTATTTGTTGTAATTAAATTAAGCAGGTGAATAAAAAAGTGAGTGATCATAGTTTATTGTATGGAAATTAATAAGGAAGTGTCCAATTCTATCTCTATATATTCTAATCCACATATTTGATAAGTGCTAGTGAGAGTACATGGCTGACGAAACTCAAGTAAACTGACCAGATTTGGAACCTAGTCACCTCTCCAATATATATAATCTAATTTAATTCTGGATTGGTCTGTATCGTTATTTAGTTTATGTAAGGTGATAAGAAATAACTATTGTTTCTTTAACCCCGATATTTTGATTGGTTGTGATGTATTGGTCACCGATGGATTCGTGACATGGATATACAGAAAAAGTTTTAGGATGTAGTGTTTACTGGTCTGCCAACAAACAAGGTGACCGCTCAATGTCCCATCATACTCTACAATTATAATACGTAACTTTTCAATAAAAAAGCGAATGGCTTGGATTTGTTTAATTAATGGAACGTTTGCTCCAAACTTGTCAAACAAATAGTCTCGAAGTCAACTCAGATTGTTTAAACTCACGTATTTGTTGATCATGATGAACTATACTGATGAATCAATGACATTTACGATAGAGCCTTTTGAGCTTATATGCAAAATTCGAAACCCAGTAATGAATAGCTAGTATCCTATTAGCGACCAGGTAAAAATTCCGTATATATAATTCCTATAATGGTTAGAATCGATAAAATATATCTTTTTGGCAACCACACAGTGATTGAACTGATACAAAGACTAACTTATAAATCTGCTTCTGTGATAGATTTTATCTGAGAGTATTTCATAAAGTTCAGTTCATGGTCGAGGGTGTCTTCCTGGACAAAATTTGTTTACTCCTAACCTTAGCTCATAAATGTGGCCCAATGAATACCTAACCATAGACCCTTTTTCGTTCACCTTATTAAATAAATCTATATACAAGCGTTTATTGATCACACGAAAACTGTTCATTAGTTGAAACGTATTACTTTTTATTATAAATCGTTATATAACTAAACACTTTCTAATTGGCTGGTAGGTCTTTTAAGGTTGTCAGTATAGTATACTTTTAGTATTGATCAGTTGGCGAAATTATGAATCATGATAATAACTGTAAATCATTTTGAGTCAAAATTTTCAAGTAGTGAGATGTTCTTAAATATATCAAACCTAATTAATATGTTCATATCTCAAACTGACCTTAGTTACGAAGTTTGTGAAAACCAGGAGTGGTTAAACAGCTATTTGGTCGTAGTACGAGACTCCTTCACAACAGCCTCATTCATGACCTCATCGTATATCGAATCTATGATATTTAGGTTATTGTGTGCTAAACCTTTAGATTACTGAGTTGGCATCTACTGTTTCATGTTTATAATTTCTATCAGTTTACAACATTGAATAACCTATCGAGAAGGTCTTGGGCTTCTTAGCTGGCGGTTTGTGGATGTGCATTGTCAAGGAGTCTTGTACTAAAAAGAAATAGCCACCCAAAGCCTTTTGATTTCCAGTAATTACCTAACTAAGGTCACTTTGTTTTGTAAACTGTGAAACTCAAGAATCCCTAAAAACGCCTTTGCACTAATACTAACTAGTATTGTTTATTTTTACAAGAAAAAATACCCATTTTCTATCACATTTCATCTCGTTTCTTTCGTTATCTTTTTTCATAAAAAAACTAGTTACCTTTTGTTATATTATTTAACAAGTAGATCGATACATCATTCTTTGATATCGTCTTAATGCATTCGATTCTAAGTTGACCTAATTATTTATATCATTAAAAAAAAGTAATGAATACTTGCACTTCAGAAATAAAACAAAAGGATGATAGAATAGATAGATAATGACTAGCATTGGAATGCACGACTCGTGTTTTTTTATTTACGACTCGTCATCTGGATGTATTTGCCACATCCTGGCGTTGATATTCACACCGAGACTCAAACCTAGTACCTCTCCAGTAGATTGAGTTGCTATGGTTTCGAACGAGATAGCCCCTAGCTTGTGCAATCGGTATGATTTAAACCTTGCCAACAGTGATATAATAAATTAGTTTTAACAACCTAATTTCCATTCTTCAGTCTTTATAGGTGCATAACTTTGATGAATAAAACTGAAGCAGGAAAATGTTAAAAATCAGATTATCTTTCAAATATGAAAAAAAAAACAAGTTTTCAACAAAGGGTCGTTTGTTATAAGATAATGGTGAGGTTTAATTCATTGTTTATTGGTTGTTTGAATAAATATTAAACTTCACCCCGTCGCACAAGCTAATGCTATATGGACTCAGTAGCTTATGAGATAGCACGATTGCGTTTGAAGCAAGCTGTACTGGGTTCAAGTTTCGGAGTGAAAATCGATTCTAGGATGCAGGTACATCCAGCTGTCAAGTCCCAAATAGGATGAAACGCTTGTTCTGAATTCTACTGCTAACCACCATCCATCTCTGCTTATAACGACAAGTTGTTAATTTATGATTCGTTGTTGCTTAGCGATTGAAATGATATTTTTTTATTTATCTAGATTATATATAATTAGAAGGCTATTATTCTTACATATATATTTGAATATCTTAGCAACATATCGTTTCATTAAACACATCTTATTCACAATTAACAAGAATAGTTATTCTCATTTTTAAAATAGGGTAGAAACAAACAGTATTTCATTTAAAGAATTTCAGAATTATTTAATTCAATGTTTAAAATAAGCTAATCACTTACTGTAATATATGATAGGACAGTAGTAATAATAGTAATAATAGTAGTAAATGTTTGTAGATAAATGGGTGGAACTAATGAATGAATTAGTAAGTAATTGAAATTCTTTTCTTTTTAATAATTTCAACAAAGTCCTCTCATAGTGTGATAATTAAATTGATCGTTTCTTTGTTTATTTGCATACTATTACAGATCAAACGATATGCGGATTGTGTTTCGATACAAAAGGTTTTTTTTTTAAATGTGTCACTGAAAACATGATGTCTTACGTTTTAATATTTTCAAGAGTTTTAGTATTGTTGTTCAGTCTGATTGTCAATACCACGCTAAAATGAGTCTAAATTAAAATTGAATTAATCAACTGAATTCTCGTGAAATGTTCAATCTATTTGAATAATAACTGCTTAGTATAAATGGTAATTTTATGTTGTATCTGTCCTACATCTACACTGTAAATGAAATCTAGGTTCAACTGGATAACTTCATAGTACAATGTCTACTTCAAATATTTTGCGGTTGCTTAAATACTGCAATTACAAATGCTTGGCCACTAGTTACAGAGTAGAGTTGTCTAGTTGCCTAATCAACATTTGTCAGTCTTCGTAGCACTACTTACTTTCAGTGTTAGAGTTATCTTAAATATTTTACGTTGGGCAGTTTGCGTTTATGTCTGGTGAAGGATGTAAATTAATTTAAAATACAGTAATCTATTAATACATTTATAACATATTAATCAATAACCCACAAATTTACAAAATTTTCTGACAGGCCATAGAAATCGCTTGAAAACAAAAAAATAGAATCATTTACTTGTTACCTACCAGTGCAGTTTGAGGGCTTTGCTTGTAGTCTGGGACCTAGGTTTCGTGCTAGTTGACACTCATCAGCAAAGTGTACCTGGAAACTTAGAGGGGCTAGTTCTCCCTTTGAAATTCCATATAAGTTGTGAGGTCAGTATTACCGTCTCAGACTGTAAAGCTAGGTGATGTGGGCTGAAGTTCCATCGGTAGCACCAGTTTTCGGGAGGTTTCATTTGTGCCTTTGTGACGAGCGCCATGTTGCACGATACTAAGATTTAGGGTATCCTTCTGACTACTACCAACCACTGTACAAATACAATTGTTTGTTATTTAAATGTATCCGTGTATGGCCATTTTCCTTCTCATCCACCAAGTTGTCATGCGTTTTTTAACAGTTGTTTAACGAAGATTACTTCGTGATCTAAGCCATGAAATTTCTTCTATTTTACCCGATGTAATAAATGATATTATTGTAAATATTACTGTCTACCAAATAGCATATGAATGTTTTTCTCTCTTTAGTGAATCACAAAATCATATCATTGTCGTTATTGTATTTGGTTTTTACCTTATTGTCACAGCGAATGAGCAGCTAATGGGACAATTATTATAGTCGCGAATGTGCACTGCCGAGGAGTCCTATAATATAACGAAACCGCCATCAAATCCTTCCACCTTTTCAATGATGATCTAACTAAGATCAGTTCATGACATAAAATCTGTGAATATTAAAGTATTTTATTTATGGAAGTACAGTATTGATTTGATGTAATCATTGTGTATGCTTGTCAGGTAGAGACAACTTAGTGACTGAGAATAACTTAAATCAGTTCAGCTTAAAAAATCTATGCCTAATCTCAAAGCTAATAACTTTCTAGTTTTACCATAAACGAACAATACTCAGATGATTAAACAACCTACTCATATCTTCTACTTTCATAAGCTATACGCATAGTCATAGAGCCAATACATTTCGATATAGTGTATGTTTTTTCTTACCTTTTACCAGGTACACGTATATTTTATCCAACTTACTTGAGCTAATCAATTTTAATCAAAATTCGACATAACCAAAAATTAACTCTCTAGTAAACCATTTTTCTACTTAATACTTTAGTATAGAAATAGTGCTTATTTTGAATTGTCAGCGATTATTTGTCAACATAGTGTGGTGCATGTACGAATAAATTTTGTTTGAATTCGGAGTATAT